AGGTGAACATGAAGGCGGTGATGAAGCTGATTTCTCTATGGAGGAAGAGCTTGAGAAGAAAGACCAGGCCATGAAGACAGAACGCGAGTTAGACGACAATGATCATGATGAAAAGCCCCGTACAGGCCGAGGGAAGGGGAATGGTAAAGGCCGTCGTTTGCGCACAAGGAAGGTTGTGAAGGAAAGGACAGCTGCATCAAAGACATCGCCGAAGAAGAAGGATCCCGAAGAACGTGAAAAAAACAAGGAGAGTTCACACATGCATGCAGTGCGTTTACATGATTGTGCACATGTGCACCAACTTCATTTACTTGCCAGGACTCTACACCTCAGCCCCCCGAGGTTCAAATTGGGAATTTCAATGTCTCACTTTGTGTTGTCAATCATTATATTACATGCAGGTGCCTGATGGTGAAAATAGAAGGGGGGATGACAAGCCCAAACAGGACTGCAGTTGCATTAATCTCCAACACTTTTTTCAAATGAGATATGATTGAACAATTATTTCTCCAATCTGTTTCACCCTTTCAGGAGCCGGTGGTGGCAGGGCGCCCCAGAACTGAGAAGGACTGCATGCATGCATGTATGCACATGTGTCTTTTGCAACACCCAACATCCAACGTCCAGCCTTCACTATCTCTGCGATAGGAGCAGCACAACTTGAACCTTGTGCAAGAACTGGCACGAGACCCTGCGACCCTGTTGATGATTCCAGATCCACTCCCTGGCACACAGAAGCCTGGAACATAGTACCTTATATATACTTGTCATTCTCAAGTATGTTGTGTCCTTGTTTTCAAGATTGTTACCAAGATATGTGCTCACCGTATTTGGGGAAATCAGGTCATGGACCCAGCACCCATGCGAGAGCAATATTGAGAAGGAGCTCTGGAATCAGGGGGTCATTCCAATCAGCACTTTGCCTTGAACTCAGGCATTCTCGGACAAAATAAGTGAATGAATCTCAAGCGCAAGCCAATTATTTCCACATGTTTTATTGCCAGCTTATGATGTCAGGTTGAGCGGCTCCTTCTACCTCACCAATGTGGCGAACTTGAACTTGGACAAGTGCAATGAAAAGTTTGGCAAAACATTTCAGGCACTGGGATTTTGATTGCTCTTGACTACTTGTATCAACATCATATCAAGTCAACCCTGGTCAACATGCTTTTGTCCATGTAACAATTGTTACTTTGATTTTTTGGCCTGCCCCCAACAGCCACTTGCTCTCCTGCTGTGCAGCCCAACGTGAAGAACGGCATCACCATCACCTGGCAAAAAAACGGTGGGGTCAAAACTGCGCTGGGGCCCCAAGGTGTGGGCAGAGTTCGTTGAGGGGCCCCATGATATCCTCAGCATATCGATGCACCGATCGAATTCACATTATTATTTTATCAACATTGTTATATATATTATATATATATTACCAGCTTGTCCTCATTATAGTACTATTATACTATTGTTACATCCCCATCCCCAGTAATACTTTAATATACCCCCATTCTATCCCCAGTATGTCCCCATTGTATCCACCAATCTACTACATTAAATCCCCACTATTCTCCATCTATCATCTCTCAAATTCCCTCAAGTAATGGGCCAGAATGGATACACTACTTATCATCTAGGGAACCTAAGGTTGATCCCTGTCTTGGGGCCACATCATGTAGACAGCAGCTCATCGCCCATTTCCACATTGCAGTTCACCTGTCGACCACCACGAGCACGCAGCGGATACCATTGGGTTTCATACCAATCAAGGCATGAGATCATATTTCTCGAGTCTTTCCACACCCAAGTGGGTGCTCGAAAAGGAAAACACCTCTGTGTTCTCACTCTGTGTTTTCACTGCACCATGAGGAGCACAAAGATGTAGAGCTGTTCAATGTTCATTCAGAATCAACTGATCCAAATGGAGAGATCTCCCCGAGCCCAATAGAATCTATATTACATTTCCAACAACACACACCGCCTTAAGTTCACCTCGCCCCATTATTAACTTACGGTCTGCCAACCACAATTTGATTTGACCAAGGTGGTGCCTAGCGCTCTGCTATGCCAACTGGACCAACTACGATGAATGTAAGCTGCCCACCGCTGATGCTGAGTAGATGTGATCAAAATGGGACTTTAGAGGTGGTTGACCGCTTTGACTTCAACTCACAGCAAAACATAAAGCATGGTCAAACATGCTTCGATGCGGTCACCAGCCATGGGCCCAGTCTCACACGGCTTACCGTGTCAATTTCAGATGCAGGCTTGGGGGAAAGTCGTGCAAACAAATGCGTCAAGCAAACACATATACTGCTGATTTGATTCAATGGGGTTCAGGCTGAAGGACCTTAAGGTGGACTCTAAAACGTCCATGCCAAAATTGTCAATCAAATTGCAAAACAGTTGAGTGAATTGCCCAGACTCATTACCCACTGCCAGCAGCAACCCTGGCTCATTCCATGCCTGAACAGTGAGAAAGTTCAATCTCGATTGAAATGCCTCCTGCACGGTGGAAAAACAGCCCACTTGCCCTCACAGCATGTGTGGCAACAGTGGCACTTTTCTTAGGTGCCCCTCGCACCCTGTCGGGTTCCTACTTCTAGATGGATGTGGTGCCAGTGTTCGAACTTGATGTGGATGTTTTAATTGCCCATTTGCCCAGGCTCGACATTTGCGATGTGGTGGCTTCTGAGAATTACCAGAAGTTTGGTCGTGTCAAAGCCCCATTAGTGAGGAAAGTGTGTTCATCTCTGTCCAAATTGGCTTTAATCCAGATAGTGCCACTTAAGCCACAATTTGATTGCCTAAGGACTTGGTGAACTACGATGTCTTTTCAGGAGCCGGAGCTATTCACAAAACCTTTGGTTCGGGCCCCGATCAATCCAAGGACCTATCACACTTGATTGTGAGTAGGATGGATTTGAACATGTGCATCAAGCCTTAGTTAGGAAGCTTCAACCATTCACCAAGGGGATTCCAATTGATGCCAATGAGGTGCTGCGGGACATCGTGTGCACTCAACTCAGAGTTGTTTTTGACCAATCTACAAGCATGTTGAATTATTGCCACCCATCCAAATCTTGAATTTCCTTATTGCCCTTTCCAAGGGACAACTTTGAGATTCTTGAGAGGGGAGAGGAAAATGACCTGCGAAGCCCGCTGGGGGCTCAAAGCCTTGATCAAATTGATAAGATTTCCTTTTTCAATCGCATACTTTATTACACATATCAAATATGTGTGGACCAAAGATTGATGAGATATTGCAACTTTATAGACCCATGTTCCTGCCCAGGAGAGGCTTCTACAACGCCGTCCTGGGAGTTCTGAGAGTTCGTGCAGACGGGCTCTTGACTCTAGGACCACCTTGCTGCACATTTGTTTGGATGAGCAGCAGCGGACACCAACGAACAGAACAAGCACCATATGGGAATGAAAAGCTGGATTGGGTCAACGTTGGTTCAATGATTCTCGCCCCAAAAGTATTTGTTTAATTCCTGGCATTTTCAATTTAGTTCAAAATTACCTCAGAAAGTAATTGGGAAGTACGCAGGGGTCATTTAAACTATATTTTCTGGGACTAGCTCCAAACAACAAAGGGAATGTTGCTATCATCCTCTCTGCATTGCCTAGGTTAGCAGCACGCACACTGCTCTTAGTGGTTCTTGCAACAGCAAGAGGCTGCTACATCAGTTTGGAGCAGCCTTCGGGATCCAAGATGAAGGTTTTTCCAGATTTGGTTCGGACCGGTCAACTGATCTCGAAGTATATTGGCCAAAGATTCTGGAATGAACAATTCTTGTCAGAGCCTCATTGTTCATGATGTCTCAAAATGTTTCAAATACTGGGAAATATTTTTGGTTCGACTTAAGTGCAAATAAAAGAAACTGAACTTAAGTCGAAACAAAAATAGGTTTGATGTAACTGGTTCTCCTTGACCTTGACCACTCAGTTGGATGGGGAGCTGGGGTGCTCGTACACCCAAGCCATCTCGACTTTGGGGATCCCCGCCAGACACTTGGATCGAATCGCCATCAATCTTCAGCATCCTGTGTAGTTTGGTATATAAGGAATTGTGTCCAAAACTGTTCAGCATTTGGTCCAAGGTGTTGGTTGAAAGGCCTACACCGCACTTTGGGGAAAAAGCATCGCCAGAAGCTGGCAGAATCTGCTAGAAAGTTGAAGGTTACCATTAAGAAGCGCAGGTCCGATAGTTCTTATGCAGTGTCCATGGCTTAGCTAAACGATGCAATTTAAAACAGCATTGGAAACATCATGATACTACCGCTGGATATTCTCCAATTCTCACACCATACTATCTCACATCTTGTCAGCCATCCTAGGACTGGTGGACCTGGACTTAAGTCGACACAAGTCTATCCTGCTGGTTTTGCCAAAAGGATCCTGACCCTCCACAAGAACCTGATGGACCGCTTGCAAATGCATTTTAACCACAACAAAAAAGGTACATTGATCCAATTGGTATATATCATGATATATATCATATATTATATGGCACCTATTATTACCATGCATTGTTCCATTGTTCTTTGGTTACTCATGGAACTAGGCATTTCCCTCAGTTCTATTGCTTGACGCGCAGGATTCCAAAGGACTAGAACTTCAGGCAGCTGTCAAGTCTGCTTGGTTCAAACTTCGAGATGGAAAATCACTACCAGTTTGGGCCCCAGTTGACAAGCTGGACTATACACAGCAAATAGTGTTTTGTTGGCTTCATGAGGCAAAGCACCCAGGAGCCTGGAAAAAGGCATCCCTGAGTCAATTGCGAAAAGCCTTACTATCGAAATGATGTTGGAACACCCAACTATCATCAATTAAATCGCACCATGCTATGAGGTGGATGAAGGGGCGTCTCCCATTGATTGAATACTAACTAAAACACCACCCTAAAATATATTGGGATTATCCCCATCAGTGCAAGTCCCAACATCTATCCACTTCCATGGTGGCCTCTGCGTCTCTCTTTGCAGTCACTTTGCTGTCGCTTTGCTTGCTGGCCTACCAGTGAGCGCTCGAGCAGTGGTTGGGCCATATAAGGAAGTTGATCCAAATCAAATGCCATTAATTGAATGTGGTTTAAACCGGGATTTGTCCCAATCCAATTATATATAATATGGAATTGTCTTACTCCATCATGGAGCCAACATTTTTTTCATGGCATATTTTTTGCGCCCCTGAACTAAAGGAAATTATGGGCATCTCAAGGGAATATAACCATACTGTGGATGGAAGAAATGCTGCACCAGTTGGTAGATGGTGTATCCAACTACATAATATATATTATTATACAGTGGTTCATAGTTACGAATAGTTACCAACTGATGCATCCACATGATTTATGGGTTAAGGATGGTTAAGTCACCACCAATTTCACCCCACAAGGGATTCAAGCATCATGGAATGTGATCCAGAACCATCAGAGACCCAAATTGAGTAAAGCTAGAAGGGAAATCCGTTTGAATTGGGAGAAAGGTTGCACCCACAAAATGGAATAGAATCTTATGGATGATTCCGGTGGATTTTAAGATTACTCATGTTTGTTTGGATCATGTTGCACACACACACACAAGCACCAACTCCAGCAAAATCCCTGAACAAATATTGTTTATCATGGGGCCAAGTGATTCCAGTGGGATTGAACATACCTGATTCACCCAGTCTAGCCCCAAAGAGAGAATCATCAAATTTTGGGGGACTTTTTTTTTCCAGAAAAAATGGAGCGCGTGATTTCGCGTGATTCTCGCGTGAAATGCTAAGTTTACCCGTGAAATACTAAGTTTACCCGTGAAATTCAGGTACCCTAGCGTGACAGGGGAACTTCTTTTTTTTGGGCAAACACATCTTCCCCATGGTGGTCGGCTTGTTTTTTTGGTGCACCTTGCCACTGCTATTATGCACAAGACTGCTCTTCACTGCTACAATTACTTGTATCTTGCAAGCCTGGCAGGAAAAAAGATGAAAAAAACAATCATGCACCTTTGTCTCAGTTTCACATTGGTGATTGCAACATTAAACTGGCAAGTTTTATTTGTTTGTGACAGTTTTTATGATATATATTTCCTATGTGCAGCCATTTGGTGATTTTTTCCCCACTACGCAAGGGGTTGGACCATGGAAGCTGAGTTGCAAGCGCATCTTGAACGGGGTCGACTACGTAAATCGAAAGCCCTTTCGTTTGGGTCCGGGAGTGAAGTTGCAGCTTCACCATCAGCACCAGCAGCGCCAGTTTCTGATGGTGACACAGGTCAGGTCCACAGGTTTTCTTAGAAGATTTGAACCAGTGTATTCTATACTAGTCGATCTTTTTTTGTCGAGGACAACCACATGCAGTACACTGGGTGCTTTGGGATTAAAAAAACATATTTTTTCTGTGCACTGCCTCGACATAGGTGCACGAAAGAAAACTCGCAAAGTGATTGTGAAGAAGGTCAAAAAGAAGGAAGGTGGCGAGAAACAGAAGGAGGAAGACCACAAGCAGACAGCCTTTAAGAAAAGCCAAACAGCTGACAGTGATGCCACCTTGCCCTTCGAGGTTTTTCCCAGTGGAGGTGATTCCCAGTGGAGACAGGAGGCTGAAGATCAATGGGAAAATTGGCGCTGGCCACCAGTGGGGTGGAAACCATCGAAAGGGCAGAATGCCTACCATGATGAGTCCTCTAGCTACTACAGGTTCAACACCTATGACTGGGACGAGTACAACAAACGCATACGGTTTCAGCTGGCGCATGGTGATGGTGACCCAACTACTTCTCCTGGCTCTAGAACTGCTTCTGAAACACCGTCTACATCCCTCGATCGGAAGTCAAGCCTTCTGAGTGACGCGTCAACTATTGGACCTAGTGCAAGCTTGTTGGCTGCCCAACTTGCAAGAAGCACGACTGGGGACATGTCCCTCTTAGAAAAGTTTGACCAAGTAGCAGCAGAGGAGAGTCCAGAAAATGTGATGAAGATCGCTTTACAGGAGAAAGCAAGAGCAGAAGAAATGATGAAAAAAGCAGAAGAACTTGTGCAAAAGGCAAATGCAGCTACGGTGAAAAAGATGGACGAGAAGAATGAAAGCAATGCAGCAGGAGAAACACATGCAGCAGCTCACAAGATTGAGGAGGAAGAACATAGGAAGACGATGCAAGAAGCAGAGAAACATGAGGCTTTGAGGATCGCAGCAAAGGAGCAAAAGAAAGCTGACATAGAGAAGAACATGGCAGAGAAGCAGGCAGAAGCTTCCAGGATTGAGAAGAAGACGCATGATGCAGAGAAAGCTGAAACTTTGAGGATTGCAGAGGAGGAGAAGAAAAAGCAGGATGCAGAGAAGGAAGCGGCAGAGAAGCAGGCAGTAGCTTTAAGGCTTGAGGACGAGAAGAAGAAGCAGGATGCAGAGAAGGAAGCGGCAGAGAAGCAGGCAGAAGCTTTAAGGCTTGAGGAGAAGAAGCAGGATGCAGAGAAAGCTGAAACTTTGAGGATTGCAGAGGAGGAGAAGAAAAAGCAGGATGCAGAGAAGGAAGCGGCAGAGAAGCAGGCAGTAGCTTTAAGGCTTGAGGACGAGAAGAAGAAGCAGGATGCAGAGAAGGAAGCGGCAGAGAAGCAGGCAGAAGCTTTAAGGCTTGAGGAGAAGAAGCAGGATGCAGAGAAAAAGGAAGCTTTGAGGATCGCAGCAGAGGAGCGAAGGAAGGTCGCAGAGAAGCAAGCAGCTTTGAAGAAACAGGCAGAAGCTTCCAGGCTTGAGGAAGAGAAGAAGACGCAGGATGCAGAGAAAGCTGAAACTTTGAGGATTGCAGAGGAGGAGAAGAAAAAGCAGGATGCAGAGAAGGAAGCGGCAGAGAAGCAGGCAGTAGCTTTAAGGCTTGAGGAGGAGAAGAAGAAGCAGGATGCAGAGAAGGAAGCGGCAGAGACACAGGCAGAAGCTTTAAGGCTTGAGGACGAGAAGAAGAAGCAGGATGCAGAGAAGGAAGCGGCAGAGAAGCAGGCAGAAGCTTTAAGGCTTGAGGACGAGAAGAAGAAGGAGGATGCAGAGAAGGAAGTGGCAGAGAAGCAGGCAGAAGCTTTAAGGCTTGAGAAGGAGAAGAAGCAGGATGCAGAGAAGGCAGCAGCAGAGAAGCAGGCAGAAGCTTTAAGGCTTGAGAAGGAGAAGAAGGAGGCCGAAGCAGTGAAGGAAGCGGCAGAGAAGCAGGCAGAAGCTTTAAGGCTTGAGGAGGAGAAGAAGAAGGCCGAAGCGGAGAAATCTGAAGCTTTGAGGATTGCAGCAAACAAGGCAAAACCTGATGCAAAGGATGAAGACAAGACAGCAAAAGGGCAGAAGAAATCAACAAAGAAGGAGGCTGATGAAATAATGGCACAAGCAAAAGATATGATTGCAAAGGCCGAGGCAATGATGAAGGATGCACAGCAGCAAAGCCAGAGCCCAGCAGAGAAGACAGAGGAAGCAGGGAACGGCCAAACGGTTGATGATGAAGAAGCAGCAAAGCAAAAAGAAGCTGAGGAGCGCAAAGCAGCTGCACGAGCCAGGTACATGAGATACTACCGCAACATTAGGCGTCCGACCCCTAGTTCACAAGGTCCAGTTCAAATGACAGAGCAAAAGCATATCAGAAAAAGTATGCAGCATAGAAAACACATGAACCATCATGAACCCAATATGCTTTGACACCCTTACATTTGGGGGTGTGGATACATCAGCTTTCGTGCCCTACTAAGACAAAGACACACCGAAGGAATTGAGACTGATGGGACAAGAAGCTCACGGCAGCAACTTGGCTTTTTGGTGGGTATATGTGGGTATGTATGTAAATTATATATAAAGGCCTAAGGGGGAAACCCAATGCTCCACTACTACCAAAACTCTTTGAGCTAAAACAGCCATGGAATGCTATGGACACTTCAAGCCAATGGCACTCCTTAAATTTGCTTTCAAGAAATGTTCAAGTTTCTTGCCAGCAGACCACACCTGTGACTTCCCTTTACAAACAATGTGTCACGATATTAAGTTTCCTTGTTTGAGCTGGATCCCAAAATCACCTCTGCAAGGAAATATTTTATGACTCTTAAAACCTTGAGTTTGCCTGTGCCTCTTTTTGCCTCTCTTGCATTTTCAAAGCGCGCTTGCTGAATCCAAGGCACAAGTTTGAACGCTGTGCTGTTTGACGCTTGGTGCCAATGCGAAGAGGGGAATTGGGCTCAGAGCAAATTCTACATGGACATTCGCACCCGTCACACACAGAAGAGGAAAGGCATTCGAAGATGGCTTCTTCCCCATGAGATGGATGAAAGGTTTACACCGGCAGTTGCGCAAGCTATGAGGGAACACAAAGGTACAAAAGAAGAGTTGTGGGAGAAAGAAACTCGTTTCCATCCCGAACTTCCCCAGAAGGAGGACTGCAATATGGTATATGTTTTTTAGTTTTTGCACTTCTTATGTGAGACACTCTTGTCAACGACTACTGACTGGAAGGAAACATAATATACACACTTCTGAATATTAGGGGGCACCTGCTACTGGTACCTAGGTTTTCCAATTTTGCTTCCTGCTCGTCGCAGGAGTTCCGCCAATTTCTTTGCCTTTGCGAAGATGCTGAAGAAACTGAGGTCTCAGAGGAAATTGACAGGCTGTATCGGGCCATAGATCAGGATTCCTCCTCAAGCTCTGAGTCTTCACATCGTCGCAAGAAAAGCAAACGGGAAACCCAGCCGCAGAAGCCCGAGCCAAAGGAGAAAAAGGCCAAGAAAGAAGTGAAGAAGGCAAGGGGTGTTGATCAATAGGCCAAGTAAATGACAGCTCAACAAAAACCATGCATGGTCACTGTGACCTTTTTTGTTTTAGGACAAGAAGAAGTCCAAGAAGGAGAAGGAGAAGGAGAAGAAAGAAAAACCATCTGAGGATCCGAATGCGAATGCTGAGAAGAAATTGATCAAGGATGCCAAAAAGGCTTCAGCTGAACATGTATGATATGGTTTTTGATGGTGTGTCCCATGTTGGTACCAATCTGCACACAAGAGTGCAGGCAGTTTCGGATGCGAGCAGCAAGTTGAAATGGGCAATTGGTTTGCAATCGAACCTTGACCAGTTGCCTGGGCCTCAACTTCTATATGTCATTATCCTTTTGGGATGTTTCAAAAAAACCAGAGCATATATGTTAAATTTATCTCATTTTGGTTCAACCAGGAGCGACAAGTACAAGGAGTCGGTCAGGCAAGACTATGATGAGAAGAAGTCCAAGTGCGAGGCAACAAACATAGAGTGAGTATACCTGTTTAGGATTCCTGGTTGTAATCGTGATGGGACCATGACGTTTTTCATGCTGTTGATGATGAGAAGGATGGAGATGATAGTGGTGATGATGATGATGATGAAGATGGTGAGGAAGATGAGTGGTGATCATAAATCTCAGTTGCCCCTTTTGTCATTCGTTTTTTTTTACTGTCCAACTCCAGGAAGCTCGCAGCAATCTTCAGAAGGTTGTGGACTCCAACCAGGCCCCGACTACTTCTCAATCTGACTCATGTTTATCCATTTTTGTGCATGTGTGCATGTGCACCTGCTTTTTTATGTGCTTGTTTGGGGGAGTGTGTGCAAATCAACCATCTGCTAGGTCACGCAGGAAGCAGTTGCAGCTTGTGACAAAGCACGCAGAGACTTAGAAGTGGCTTGCGAGCCATTGAAAGTTAAGAAGCAAAGAAAATCCTAGGCGTAGAGTTTGAGAACACCTGGGTTTAAACATGGAAGGGCATAAAAAACAACCTCCTAATACTGGTTTGGAAAGAATATTTTACTTGTGGTTTGGGGCCAGGTGCAAAAGAGTTTATGCTGTCAGTTTAGACAGCTGAGAGCGCTTCAGGTGTATGTGTGATCACCTTCGGCAGGGGAAGATCGAGGGTGTGTCCTTCGTGCACATAGGATTGCGCCCAATCTTATTCCTTTTGTGCCAGCACTGCCTTCCTTGTGAGAACAAGCATGTTTTTGGTTGAACAATTAGAACTTGGTGAAGTCAACCAACTCATAATTGAAGTTGCGGCACAAGCAGCAAGGAGCATTGTGTTTGGTGTTGCTCAAAAAATGGGCACTGAAAGCGACAGAGATCCCTGGGCGTGAGCATTCAAAAAAAGGTTGCCTGCATTTTGTTTGCATCACATTTTTTGGCTTGTTTCGCAATGTATCCATCAGCAGAATGGCAAACTGTGTGCACATGCTGAAATGCAAATAGAAACAAAGAAACATCGAAACATAGAAACGCATCGCAGGTGATGGTGCCGCACCATTTGAAAAAGATATATGCGAGAGAATTGCATCAGGTGTTCCTTGTCCTGCTTTATTTGCACTGTTCTCTTCCCTGGAAAACTGTTTTCAAGTTTCACACTGAAAAGCAGTTTTCAAGTTTCACACTGGAAGGCTGTTTTCAAGTTTCACACTGCCAAGAGTCTTGAAATCATATCCAACCAATCTTAGGAAGCTTCTGCAAAGGGAGCTATGAGATCAGCTAGAACCACATTCCAGGCAAGAAGTTTTTAAGCAATACTTTTTGGGTACTTAGGGCTATCCATACTTGACTTAGTCACAGACCGATCCTAATTTTTCACCCTGAAGGAAGCAAAAGGACGGACCAGTTCTTGGACTTCAAAACTAGCGAGCTACAGACCTGGCAATGCATCTCGGGATTTCTACCGCAACAACCCACTCCCAGTGGAACCCTTGCATTTGTTGCTTAAGTTATTTTCTGTGTTTTCGTGTGGGATTAGGTTTATTATATATAAGCTAGATTATCATGGATTATCCCATTGATCCCAATCTTTATCTTGAACGATTTCTGCACTCTGAGGAACCAACAAATGTGAAAGTTTGTATCAAGTTGCCGAATGACATGACTGGTGAAGTTACGCTTCCTGTCAACTTGCCCTATGACATTACGAAGTATTTGATTGGGGAGTGTGGATTGAAAATTGATGACACGCTGCTTTCGAAGTACTGGAGACACAAGGAAACCACCCTGGACCCACTGGCGGTTGCAACACGCAACTATCGTCAAATGGCTGGCACTGTGTGGCCTCTAGGTTTCTACGGTGATGAAGCTGCTATGGGATTGGTCAATGCACCTACGCATCAAATTTTTGGATTGTACATGAATGTTCCGCTCTATAGACCCAGGAGCACAAGGTTGAGCAGATTCTTGATGTTCTCTGTGGAAGTGGAAAAGATTATTTCGGTGGAGGAGACTATCTACCCTGTTCTCGAGGCTATTGTCGAGTCCTTCAACCAGCTCACTTCAGTTGGTGTATGTGGTTTGCGATTTCTGGTCAGTGAAATCCGTGGGGACCAGGCGTTCTTTCGTATGATGTTCAAGCACAGGTCTTGGTGGACGGCTACAAAGATGTGCTTTCGCTGTGGTGCAGTTGCTTCCCCAGGGCCCCTGAACTATTGCATCTACGATGGGAATGATTCTTGGGTATCCACTCAGCGTTCCACTGAGGAGTTTCTGGTTGAAGAGCTACCTCAGGACCAAACCTGTCACTTGGTCCAACTTGGTTTTTGTAGTGTTGGATACCATCCGGGTTTTTGGAAATCTACATTGCAAATTTTGCTGCTGTGTTTTTGGCGCGCTCGTTTGCTGGAATCAGGTCCTTTGGTGGACTTGCATTTCTTTGACATTTCGACACTGAAACATTGCACCCTTCATATCTTGAATCTGGGTTTGCTTGGCATCTCCAACGGTTCGTCCTTGAGCCTTGCATTGCTTTAATTTTGATTTTCTGATTTGCAGTTTTGAATGTTTGGATTTTCGGATGTAAATGTGTGGGTTTCAATGATAAGTTTTTGGCAAGTGCTGCCTCAACCTAGGGGAATGCTTCTGGACCTTCAAGTGTTTGGTGACACTTCTAATGGCTATGGGGCGGCTCTCCACAGCGCTTTTGATGACTTTGTGCTCTGGAGGAAACGGAACAAAATTCAGTGTTCACAAAAGAGGTTTTCAGAGAAATCTTTGGTGCGACCGACTAGCTATGGCTGGTATCTCAATGCAAAGGGTTTCAACGCAAGGGTTGTCTCTGAATGGCTTATGGACAAAGTTGTGGAGGTGAATGCAGGTGGTTTGCAAGGCCTCAGCCCTCTTGAACAACAACGGTGGGAGGTGTGTGAATCAGCTTTGAAACTTGCTGGCCGATCAGGTTTTTAATTTCAAATTGTTTTGCACACTTGCTACTAAATTCCCTTACTTCGAGTGATCCACAACCCGACACACTATTCTGATATAGTTTCTGATGCTGTGTCCCCCTTTGTTACTTCAAGTGATCCCCGATCCCCCTTTGTTACTTCAAGTGATCTCCAACCTGACAAACTATTCTGACATAGTTTCTGATGCTGTGTCCCCCTCTGTTACTTCAAGTGATCCCCAACCTGACACACTATTCTAACATAGTTTCTGATGCAGTGTCCCCCACTGTTTTGACAGCTGGTGCTCACTGAAAACAATTGGAGCGGGTATAAACACCCTTTCATGAAGAAAGTTGTGATCTTATAGCCTTATCACCCCAGAAGGGGCATCCAAAATAGTCCAAAATAAACCCACCAAGTTGTAGGATATCCTATTTTGTGAAACCTCCAAAAAAGGGGGTAAACACCCTTTACATGGGATGTCATGTTATTATCCTTTACAATGGGTTATATAAAACCTCCAAAAAAAGCGGGTAGGATGTTATTGGAATGTAATGGGATTATCTATTGGATTTTCTTTATTGGTTCCTCACTTAAAAAACCTCCCAGTACATTACAGCTGGGATTCCCAGGAGAGGCATCAACCGGTACTTCGGTCTGAGCGAGCGTGCCTCCAGACACTTGATCTTTGCCAGCATGAAGTGGCCCACGCGGGTAGGATGTTGGTAGTAAATTGTAGTGGTATTGGGGTATCATCTGATCTACACTATAAAATGGGATGTAATGGGTTTGGGAGATGATTCATTGATGAATGGGGATTGGAAGGGGCCTACTATCTTGCTTTGATGATTCTGTGGTTTTATGAATGTTTTACTATCCAACATATTTTGGGGTTATCGGTTATCGCAATCCACTGGGGGAGCCAAAGATCAGGTCCTTCAACCCTACTAGTCCTAAACCCTTGAAGCCCAAATGCCAAGTTTAATTGATTAAGCCATTGGAATCCAAATTTTAAGTGTGATTGAACGATTTCATTTTGGAACATCTCAGGACACGATTCCAAGCGTTGGAGATGGAGCGTGCTGGACGTGCCTACTTGGTTTCTTACAGGAAACTCAATCACTTGAGCTCGTTGTTGGGTGTTTTGGCCTGGGTACTCATACCCAAATGGCATGTACCTAGCCTGAATTAGCTTAAAGATTTGTATGATATCCCAGGACTCCCAGTGTTGAACATGTTTAACGTTTGAGCCTCTCGTTTGAGCCAAGGCATTTGCTCACCTCCTCCATGACCTCCCACTTCGGATGGAGAATCCGCGATTTACCCATACCTTTACTGATGAGGATGGAATGATGTTGCTCAAAAAGTGGGCAAAAAAGTCTGATGGAAAAGACAGAGAGAAAGTGATCTCCCGTCTTAGCAGGATGAAACTTAAGACTCTGAAATGGCGTCTCCGAGAAACGCAGAACAAAAGAGGCTGAATGAAAAATTGCTTGTTGATCTTGGTGAGGTGGAACTTGGTATTTGTTGGTTAAACTTCGTATCTTAGGAAATACTAAGTTAAACTTAGCATTTGATCAAATACTAAGTTAAACTTGGCATTTGGACCTCAAGGGTATATATATATATAATATGGTATCATATATGTATATACACACTATGTGTGTGTATATATATATATATATATATCATTAAACTATATGTCATTAGTCATTACATATACATTTCAGGTAAGGATCATGATGCCAAGCTCTTGCCAGAAGCACCAACAAACATCCGCAATGCCGCCCACATGATCTGACTCCTGCTGAGCAGCTCATACATCTCATCAACAAACCTGGGTGGAGTCTTGGCTTGATCGACAAGGGTTCATAGATGCACCAGGAAACACATGTGTATTTATATACTTCTATGTTTATATATAGTATAGTATATATATAGTATAGTATATATATAGTATAGCATCTATATATATATATAGTATATATAATTAGACATATATAATCTATATTGTATTTGATTTGTGCATTTTTTCAGAACAATCCATATTCAATTTCACTTCCAAAAACCATCCCCTGCTGTCCATGATCTGCATGGCTTTGTCCACAGTAATGGGGTTGACCATCAATTCAGAAGTGACGTCACATGTTTTGATGGATTTTGAAAAAAGTACATGTGATATCATGTGATGTTTGAACTTATCTAATCTTATGTAGATCAAGTTCAATCATATAAGGGGGCCCAAGAGTAGCATTAGAAAATTCCAGCCTACTGCCATGGAACAGGTCACTCAGGTCCCACCTCAGCCTCCGCTTGGCCAACTTCGCCAGGGCACTTCTGGATGGCGGCAAATAAGAGGCGCCCATCGGCGTAGAACGGCAACTGCTTCAACTTGGGGTGAAGCCTCTGCGCTGCGGAGGATCCCAGAAATCGTATGGTGGGCAGTGCTCCAGTTCGTTAGCTAAGTTGATTTATATGCATCTTCTTATAAAAGTAGTAGACTAGGGCTTGTGGTGATTCTAACATATTAAAGTGTAACTAGTTAGCTTGGGTTGTAAACTGACATATAGCTACTGTAAGGGCACCACCTTAGAAGCAGTTGACAACACTAGAAAGTTCTGAAGTAGGTGCTCCATCTATTCTATGAGTGGATTATGACTATGGTAACCTCCTGGACCATCGTGCCATGTGGAGGCTTTTGGCATTTGTTGGTATCATGATATATTGCTGTACCAAATGATCTGGCTGCCCCCAATTCGACAAACACATTCCGGTGCAATCCCAATCCCATGAAGATACACGAATGAATCTGGGTAAATTATAATATTTAATAGTTCGGCCATTTGCGGATGATTTCCCTTACTAAACATGATTTCCAGGGTTCGGTCGCGACGTGAGGTCGTTATAATTTACACGAATGAATAGCGAATGGATGACAATGGATGTACCTGCCCAATTTCCAAGGTCCAATCACAGACCACCAACGTCCAAGCACTGCTGCTGTACATTGCTTTTGGTGCTCCCTCAAGTGGGATGGTAAACACCATGGCCATCTTGCAGAATCTGATGAATTAAGAAAAACATTGATTCAATGATTCACCAGTGGATTCTACTGGATCCATATTCAACCCCAAACTTCTAGGATTTAATTCTTTAATACTGGTAGTTTCCTTTCAATTTAAGTATTCCCAAAAAAAAATCGCGTTTTTTCCAGACATGGATCCGAGGCACTTCTCGAATTCAGCATCTTCAGTGATAGCCTTGTGGCACGAGAACCAGACACATTCACTGACTCACTGAGTGCCAAATAGCTTTCATGGGTACCTGAACCAACAAAGTGCCAAAACATGGGTTGGGGTAACATGCTGTTGACAGAATGACACGTTTTGTAGGTCGCCTGACGGTCTAGGTACTGACATATTTCTGTGCACATGATTATATGATATTATATATGATATTATATGCAATTTTAAGCGCATGAGCATGAATATAAACAAAACACGTGAAGCACCCTTTCTCATTGTTTATATCTAATTCGCTCTGATTTCATGATGTTTTATGCGTATGATTTGATATCCCTGCACACTGTAAACATCTTGCTGACTCCACTGAAAGAATTGCATCTTACCTGCAGTCTCTGTAGCTATCCTGTCTTTGGCAAGAAAAGGGCAGCCTTGAATGCACATGGCAATCTGTGCATCCAACAGTTGGAGAGATGTACTAGCTGGTGTCTCACCTAATATCTCAGTGGCCAATGGGTTCTATTCACTTTGCCTCAAGGAACATCCAAGTAGCTTGTCCCGGCCACCGGGTCCCGGGAATCAGAAGTACAGTCAGCTTTTTAATTCTTTTGGCAGCCAAAAGACACTATTTCAATTTCTGGGAATGTGTATTTACCCTCTGGTAAACTAAGAGTGTGCTATTGAAAATTGCCTAGTCGAAGTGGATTTACCCATTAAACATAGTGATTTTCCATAGCAAACTGTTAGTTTACCAGAGGGTAATGGCAATGTTTCACCAAATGAGATTCCTTATGTACGTTTCCCAATTTCAACGTGGACTCCTACAGGTGGGCCATATCTAGTGAGAAACTCACCTTTGCAATCCTATGGTTGAAGAAATCCTGCACCACCAAAAGGATACTTGAAACATGTTGAAACCCTATCAATAATGGGATAAATTGGGATAAACCACCTATCAACTGGGAATTACTTCCATCCACAGTATGTTTGGGTCTCATGTGAAATGTAGGTCGACCCCAACTGATGTCTCCCTAAGCCACATGCCGCTGGACCCGTATCTGCTGTATCTGCTGCCAGGCAGCACGAATAGGTGTGGCTTCCGTGATGTCCTGCAAGATCTCCGGCACCTTGTGACCTTGGATGCAATCAAGGATTCAATGATGGTTTGGTGGTTTGATGATGATTTAAGGGGATTTAATATGGTTTGGCCTGATGAACACTGGGATATCCATGGGGCCCAAAATAAAGTTCAGCCGCTCGCATGATGGCAGGAAGTGAACATGTTGCGGTTGTCTAATCATTGGTCAACAGAAAAGACCCTTCTGATTGCCTTTGCAGTTGAAAACACTCTCACCAGAATTGGGTATTGGTCTTTGCCCCATGTTTATGGGTGACACGGTGAGACGGGTTCAACGAAATTGAACCATTCTTCCAATAAAACACTCAGTTTATGGCGTAAACCATTGTAAGCCATACCCACATAGACATGTTGGGTTGGCATGCCGACCTTACATTGTTCTTTAGAACTGGTTAGTACCTATCACCACAGCAAAAGATCAGTTCACAATTCTCTGCTTGATAAACTGGTTTCCCATGGTTTCCCAACTTATCCCACAATGATTCCCGGTGGTCTCGTTTTCTTCCAATGCGGACTCCTCTATCTTGTTGGTACTTAAATTCCCCATAGAAATATTGATGATATCCACAGTATCCCCAAGGCGCAGCCATATTTTCATGAGATCCAGCCAGATCTTCTTGTTAAACCCACCAACCATACCAGACATACCTAGACACCAATCCCTCAGCCGTATCCCAATTTTTCGTAGGTTGTCCAGTGGTTATCCCCTTATCCCCACTAGTGGTGGTTAAACACCCATCCATCCGGCTCCACCGTGCAAGTCGCTGAGCTTCACGAAGTCGCTGAAGGGTGTGGCACGGTGAAGCAAGTGGTTGGGACCTGGGGCCATTGGGCCATGGAAGGCGCCATGCAGCTGGACCCAGCTGGCTTTGTAAAAGTCCCATTCCCCATGGTTCCCGTAAAAGAACCATGGGGTATATTGACCTACATGACTCCATGACTGGGTGATTTTTCGTGGACATGTTGGTAAATATTCCAGCAGCATGGAGCATTTGGGATTTCCAGAGAAACTGACTTCATCACAGGATCGGATCCACATGGGCACATGTCTGGAAAGTAAACATCACATGTCTGGAGTCCGATTTCTGGGCACACATACCACCTATAAAATATCATGTGAAGATGCAAGAAATGGATACGTAACCAAAATATGCCAAACTTAGGAATTAGTTCCAATTCAAAAAAAACGCAAACATTATATACTGCGATTCTAAACTAGTCAGCTACAGCCATACATTCCAACGAGATCCACCGGGTAAGCCATTACTGGGCTCCGAACCACAAAGCACATGCACCGCCTGCAGATTGTGGATAGCTAAAGGCGTTCCACCAATCAACAACCATTGCAGCAACCCAATGGTATGCACTGCCAACCCAAATTCCATGTGTGAGTATGGATGAGTATGGCTTTATCTATCAGTTATGAAGGGGAAAAGCAATGTTATTGTATTGCATGTTTCAAACTCATCCAACTGTGGACATATCCCGCCCATTTTGCCGGCCTAGTTCTAAACCAAGTTACCTATCTAGGACCCTAAATGGCATGCTTGTGTTGGTACTTAAGCAAAAAGGCAACCAAAATCATGTAAAATTGCCATTTTCGCTACAGGAAAATGAGGATATGATTAAGCAACAGCACAATTTATGGTGACGTAGCAGCGTAGCATGTGACCATTGTGACCATTGCCGTGTAGCCACTCCCAAGCTGCCCAAAAATGAGGGGAAGCCTAAAATCCATGTCTTTATCATCATCACAAGGTGGTGCCCCAGTTCGTTAGCGTTCAGTTGGTGCAAATAACTCCCATTTCACTATGGTTTATGGCAGATATAACGAACTAGTAACTAGTATTCATGGGGTTTATAAACCAACAAACATCACTGGGGGGCACCATCCTGCATGTTCCCCACGATTAAAATATATTAAAAGTAGGGTACAAAAAACACACCATTTCTGGACTAAGCCATTTAAGGTAAACGCACAAGAAACCCCGCTTGACTATGGTGATCATCCATGGTTCAGGTTCTCGGGTAAAAAACGACATCGATTGGGATGATCCTCTCACGGCCAATCTTAGATACAATGCAAAGATCTGCAAAACAAATACCAAACTGGCACATGTTTGGATAGTGTGTATATAATCCATCTAATAATAGTTAATCTTGGATAGTATATGTTCATATTAATATGGCAAACAAATAAACACACAATTAAACATAGTTGGATAGTAAATCTCCATATGTGTAGCAAATATTGGATAGATTTGGATAGTATATCTTCATATCAATGTATGGCAAAATGTCAACACAATCTCAAACTGCCCATCCATCCATCCAAGGTTGACCTACTTTACCTACTTTATCATCTTTATCTACTTTGACCTGACCATGCCCCAACTTCGTTTGCGCCTGCACGTTCACAAAGATAGTGCCAAAAGTGAAAATGGAGAAGACTCGCCGCAGGGGATTGGAACCCTCTAAGGCCACTCCTGACCGACGCGACAAAAAAGGTCCCTGAAGTGGATGAAGGGGAGATAACGTATTCGGATGAAGGGAATATAGGAATAAACAAATCAAACATATTTGGTGGCAACAAAACATGGTTTCCGGTAAATGTACCCTTAACTCAACCTATAATACATATATATATATATATATTTGTTTATATATTTATTTATTTATATTCTGGTTGGTGGTTTCAACCCCTCTGAAACTGATAAAAGTCAGTTCGGAGTATTATTTCCAACTGAATGGAACAATCAAATTCATGTTCCAAAGCACCAAACAGTATTTTATTCAGAATTCAGGGCTGAGAGGTGTGTCAGCTGATGCTGCAGGAAACGATGAACCGCCAAAAAACTGTTTCACCTCTGCGTCTGGGTTACATCAAATATCCCCAAGAAAGGCATGGTTCATCATGTTTCATCTGAATAATGAACGAACAACTGCGGGTTGGGGAGTCATTATTTTGAGCAACACTCACGGGTTAGTGGCAAACACATCAGGATGCGGATGAGACATGAAATATAATCTGCTCAACAGGTTTGTGTTCCAACTGCTCCAACAAAGCACGGAGCCAATAACGGCTAGAAGGCAAACGCAATACATGTTTAATATATATATATATATGTGTGTGTGTTTTTTCTAACTGAAATTTGTGTATAATTTATAATATGTATAGCAAATGTATATAGTTTTACAGTATAAATGATACTTATAGCAAACGTACACGTTGTCACAACATGTGAGGATTCATTCTACGTTGCACATCGGCCACCACAGATCCAGTACAACCATTCTTGGGCTAATTTGGAAACCGTTGTATATAAAGGCTATGTTTTGGTCATTGGTGGTTAATCAATGTTAATCACACGAATCCCAAGGAGGTTATATAAGTTATAAGCTTGGTAAGTTTTCAGTGGGATGTTCGTAGGCTTAATCGAATTTTAACTAGGGTTATAACCCACTTACTAACTGGGATGAACCACCAAGTACAATCATCAAAAAAAAATATGGGCAAGATAGTTTGGATTTTTTCTAACTAGGGAAAAAAAGCCGCAGCCCCTGGGATGAACATCCCAAAAGTCACCAGGAAAAGGTCATACGACATTTCGCCAAGCCACGCACGGCTCGAGCCATGAGGTTACCCGTCCTGCCGGAACGCAAGGCATGGCTGTGTCTGAACATAGGGACATTCATACAATGGCCATAACATGGCCATAACATGGCCATAAAAATACAGGGAACATGATGATAAACCAATGGATTTAAGTAGGATTTAAGGGTACATGGTGAAAATCACATCAATCCTTTGGGGTCCTCATCCAGAAAGAATCAAACATATGGAGCACTACAGGATTGGAACATGCAAGCCCGGCACAGAACATGACAGGGTGACCCGGCATATCTCTTCAGTTCAATGGGCCACATTTAGTGGAACTCGGCAAATATTGAGGACGATGATAAAGTCGAGAAGTGATGGGATAGACAGATAGACATGCCACATTCTCCGTGCATAGTGTGTTTACCTGAATGGGTCGCGTGGGGGGCAAACGTTGGTAATGGGTAAACAAACTAGGCCGGGAGCACTTGAGCACATCTTCCTCGTCTATGCGGTGCTGTACTGAGCTCCATGACTCCATGACCTTGGCTTTCGTGACTTGTTGTAACAACCGTGGTTTCATGCTCAGCATGAAGCATGCAGACATTGCCGGCAACATGGTTGATATATGTTGATATCTTTAGCCCAGAAAAGCTGATGCCGCAGGGCAAAAAACCCGTCCCTCAGGCGACCATGGACTGGATGTTTCTGGGGCTTCTGGCGCAGGTCTTGGAGCCCATTGCAGTGGTTTGGGTCACGGCCGCATTCTTGTGTGGCCAGTTGTTGTTGTGGTGTTTTGATACGGCCAGCTTTTCTGATTGGTGGTTTGGAACATGAATTTTATGACTTTCCATATATTGGACATGCCATCATCCCAACTGACGAACTCATATTTTTCAGAGGGGTTGAAACCACCAACCAGTTTTAAGTTGTGAGCTCTGTTGAGTCCGAGAGAATCTCAGAATGTTGCTTGGATTAGAGAAGAAATCCTCCCAAGTTGTCAATATCTCGACATTTGAGAAGCCAAAAGTGTGACGTGACAGAGAGAAGGCGATCAGGCGGGAAAAAAGTTGCTGCGGCTGTGTAGCTCACAGGCTGCCAGAGGTGCCACAGACAAAGTTTCAGCATTGCAAGCACTTTGGGTTTCCAATCCTCCGGGTCCCATCCAAGGCGTTGGCAGCCTGCCAACCTTGCCAACCATCCTCACGAAAATAGACCTCAAAGTCCTCGTCACCTCCTCCATGACTTGGTAGTCTGCTGGATTGTTGGGACCACCCACAACCTGGAAAAACCTGCTGGTTCTTCCGCCATGCCTCATGGTGGCTGTGGATTTCCGAAAGCTACGACAGCCACGATGACCACCAGGTCAGCTTCCAACTCTGCCGAGATCTGGTTTTCCCATGAAATTGCCTGGAAATTGAGTGTTCAATCTGGCCAAAATGGTATCATGGCATGGCTTTGGCCATCCCCAATCCCCACGTTGCAGCAACCATGAGTTGACATATGCACAGATGCTGACTTGCAGCATGTCGGAATATGAAAAGTTCTGGCGATGTTTACTTTAACCGCGATGTCTTTAAAGTAGCAGCACCATGTAGCACCCTTCTTCATGTAGATTGTATTTTTTACAACAGCACATATGCGTCCGTTTCAATATGGGATACACCCCAAAAATATGTTTTTGAAGGAGAAGATGATAAATTGTAAATCAAGATAAACCAAAATAAACTCATATGATATAGACTAGTAAACGTTTACATAACTATTGAAAATCACCATGCTATTAATGGGTAAATCCACTATAAATGGTCATTTTCAATAGCTATGTTAAAGTACCAGAGGGTAATATAAACTATCAAAGCTTTGGGGTCGCTCCGGAGTCCCACCCATGGCCCATGGCCGCCGTGGCCTAAAATGCGTAAAGTGAAGATGGTCCGTCAGTGTGACGCCTGCATCTCAACGGCCCTCATTTCGGGAGCCAAAATATGAAATCTGACATAATCTGACTATAATATTTATGAAAGTTATATATATATATATATCCCAGAAAGGTGAAGTATCATGAAGTATCTAAAATTGAAGATTGAGAGTGGTCGATCTACTTTGCGGTCTCTGAACAAGCTACTGTATATTGTGTACATGTGTGTATGTCCATATATGGGGGGTTTCCGTCAAAGAGGGATCCCCAAAATGGTTGGTTTGTAATGGAAAATCCCAATCTAAAATGGATGATATGGGGATACCCCTACCTCCATACATGTTCTAATAATCATCATTTACCCATGTCTTACCTGTACCCAGTACTCTAGATACTCCTAACCAATTCAAAATGATGAGTAATGAAGGGAGTTTTTCGATGAGTATGGATGCAACCGTCAGAGTCATGTTACCCAGTGGGTATCTTGAAAGACAACAACTTTGGACAGAATCTTTTAAAACATTGTGTCATCATAACGTATAATGGGGACTTCCAATCATGCATGCTCGGAGAATAGAAAACAAAAAACATATACCCGAGTTGACATGGGACCCACCGTTCACTTACCACTCCAAGTGGCCCAGGCGCCGAAAGCAGTTTCCGGTCAGTTTCTTTTGCAGAAAATTCAAGCCATGTATTTGTTTAAGAGGAAAACAAACAGACACACCATGGAAAACCCTGACTCTTAGCTCAAAGATAGGTGCCTCGACTCCAGATATTCCCTTACTTTAGGGTAAATCATTTGCTAATCCCAAGAATGAACCTTCCATCTAGAGATGGTTTTTACCCATGGTATAATATTTACACGGGATGGTTTGTGGCATTACCACAGTCGCCCTACAGGCCCCATGTGCCTGTGACCAAGGTACTTCGCCAAACAAACTTCCAGTACTGCCACCTTCAAGGGCATGTTCACATGGATTCGCATGGTGGCTCCTTCACCCCTTTATAAAAGCCTGGGATGAGCACGTTGATTGCCCCCTTGTGATTTCTCGGATGATCCTAAAAGTAAGAAATGTATACTAAGTGGATTGCACATGTGGTTCATGGTTCAATTGCTAAATCCAGAACATGACCCAGAAACAAACCCTAAAACTATTTTAAACATAATACACGCATAGAATAGATATATCCAATTTACCCAGGAAGAACAATAATGTTTATGTAGCACGCTGCAAACCAATTTTGAAACTGGTTACTACATATATACACTATCTGGAGGACGCCAGAAGCAATCAAAATTGTTCCTGTCGAATGGGGAAAGGAAATCAGTGTCGGGCTACCCCCATTCAAGAAACCTCCATATCGAACCATTTCTGGCGAACCGATAAAAGTAATGTCCACCACGGATTAATAACCCCTTGGGCTCTGCAACTGGCGGGTACCATTTTAGTAGCACATGCTCACTATTGGCGAGTACCTCCAACTAATCAAGGTATACCAAGGTAAAATCCTTGGTCAACATGAGTAAACTACCAGGCTTAACAAATTCTGAGGGGCTGATCAAGGACACGGCTTGGCGCCCCGGCTCCTTGTCACCCCGCACGACCTTCCAGGGGCGGTGGAGTGGCGCAAAAAGGAATTGGTTGTGGATTGGTCCTGGAATCTTGGATGAAGGGCATGACATGGCATGACCTAGCGTGCCACCACCAAAGGCCACCCAAAGAAGGGTCTACCCATGAAATGGAGGGCCCTTCAACCTAAGGCACCATGCGATTTTCAAAATTGCAGTAGGATTTTTCAAGTTTGAAGCTGTTTGGGGGATCATGCGAGTCATCGCAATGAAAATTCCGACTACATTGAAGGTGAAGATTTGTTAAGCAACAGTCCTTAAGATAACTATATTATCATATATAATAAATTATCTTTGGCCCAAACATACGCGTAAACCTTCAACCACAGGTAAACCATGCAATCATAGACGTGTCACATTCGGTTTTCACACCACATGCACCCCTGAGATACTGGCAAAAGTAGAGGCTGGCCGGCGAAGTATGGAGATATTTCCCATGTTGTCCGAAAGGGGTGTTTTCCCCAATAAAAAAAAATGTTTGGAATTGTGGGGTCCCTTATATTCAGAAACCTCCACAAAAAGTAGAGTCCATGTCCATCGTCTAGCATCGGATTCTTCAAAAGTGATGCTTGACCCCCAAATCTGGTTTCAGTTTCCAGGGGAGTGGTATATTCCATATCTACCCTAGTGTTCCATAGCTATCCCTCCATTGGTGTGTCTTGCCCATGACTGGTTCCATGTTCAAGCCTAAGCCGACCAGATCTCTATTCATTTAGGCGTTCCCATCAGACATGACCAATCTGAGACACGCTGCAAAGAAAATAGCTGGTTTGGCCAATATCTCACAATTTCAAAAGCAAAAAACATAATTAGAAAAACACACGGGTAATAGTCATCTCCATTTCACTGAAAATAACTGATATATCCCGCATTATCATGTATTGTCCCCATATATCCCAATTTTCTGGTTATATACCCTCTGGTAAACCAACATCACTATGGGAAATCACCATTTTTAATAGGTACATCAACTATTTCAATGGCCATCTTCAATAGCAAACTGTACCAAATTACCAGAGAGTATGACCGGGTATGGGGAAACCATAGGAAAACATGGGGAAACATATGGCTATAATAATCACATATATATATACAGTTATATCAGTTATATCTATATAATATACATATAATTACACAGTTTGTAGTAATTACCAGAGGGCTGTAATACACGATCCATCCAAGACTTCCCAAGATTTCACCTTCGGCTAAGGCGCAATGTCTCCCTGAGGAGTCTCAAGTAGCGCTGGGAGGCCATCTGCAATGGTAGCATCCGAAAGCCCCATGCGGCTGCTAGGAGGTTTACATGAATCGATATACTTCAGGGCAACTACACCCATATTCTCCATGTATGGTATATTTACCTACATTTGGGTGATTTTTAGGGTACATGTTGGTAAAGATTCCATACATGGAGCATTTGGGACAGGTAAGTCAACATCATATGTACTACTATCTAATACTATAACTTAGTCCTACGATCTAATACTATACCTCCGTGATCCTTTATGATCGTTTATGCATCTCTATCATTATCTATCCAATCCAATCAACCAGAACCCAATCCAGTCCAGCCCAATCCATCTATCTATCTTATGATCTACCTACCTGATCCTATCTGTACAAAACAATCAAGTTGCAAAAAAATACACAACACATGGCTAGTTGACCTACAACATGTTCTGGATCGAAACAACAAAAACATCAGAGACGACATGACCTACAACATATTGGGATATCACCATCACTAGCTGGGCCGGGACGGCCGGGATCATGGACATTTTCCATAGGACGGCCGGGATCAAATAATCACTGAGGACAGTAGCCACTGAGTAATTAGTGCCTGACGATTTTTATGTAACCACAGACAAAATTATACACTAAGAATCACAGAAGGTAATCATCCCCAATCTTGTTTCGACACTCTTAAACAGTACATGGCTGTACAATTCCTCGACAGCGAAGTCTTGTGAGCTCCGCGACCAAGGCACATCAAATTTGGTTCAATCCTTTATCAGTGCAATTCCCCGGATTTCAAAACATATATATATATATATATAATTGGCATTTGCACATTGTTTTGCACCCCAAACATGGCTGGTTGGTGGTTTTAACCACCTTGAAAAATATTCGTCAATGGGAAGAATTATCCCATATATTATGGGAAAAAAAAGTTCCAAACCAACAACCAGATGGTCACTGTAGTGGTCACTATAATGGTTCTTCAGCCTAAAAAAAACTGGTTGGTTCAAGACATTGGGTCCCTCGGGGTCTGAATCATCCCCTGCTCCCAGCCTTCGGTGAAGTACCTCAAACGAAGGGGTGACTGTTTTTTGAGAATTTAAAAGGTTGCTGAAGCCCAAGCATGGCAAATACATCACCATATGTGTGTGTATATATATATATACGTATGTTCCATGTTGTATTTATCTACATGATGTCGTCTGCAGTATATGTTTCTTATGTAAGTATCACCTTTTTGGGGTGGGCGGTTACCATCATTTCATCACCAATGTTTGATGTTATGTAAACCCCACCACAGAAGGGTTGACTGACATGCCTGAAGATATTTCATCGAAGCGGTTCAATGCTGGGTAACGTGGTGAACAACAAACAACTGTAACAATATGAACAGACCTGTGATTTGGGTATGCTCTTGAATACCCCCAAACTGGAAGTCGGTGGGTAAATGTGGCCGTTCCACGCCCCAAAGCCACAAGAAACGGCAACCCATCTGGAGCGTGAGTCAGCAGAGAGCCGAAGACAACATTTAAGCAAACCCAGAAATAGATGCCTAGATGCTGTTCGTCTTACCAAAACAAAACCCAGCCATCCGCACCGTCCGTGGACAAACAGAAGGTGCTATTGTGCATACCACTATCATGACACAAGATACGCTGCACACCCAGTGCAATTTCTGATAATATGTTTATCTATATATGTATATACACAGACATTTACATACATGATTATATGAATTATATGTGAATATTCTGTGTATATACATACGCTATATATTCACATAATATCAATACTCACATAATATCAAATATCGATTTTGTGTTTAAGTCGTGCATGCATACACATCCCAAGGGGGTGTGCCTGTCCAGTCTACACATGTCTATCTATATCCATCACTTCATTGCCTTGCTACCGTTAAAAGCTGCCAACAATTGTAGTCAAGGCAGCAGCTAACCCACCATTCAACAGTCAGGCCAAACCCAAAGGTCAAGTTCTATCCTCTTGCTTCTATCTGGGTAAATTATAATATTTCACTAACCTGAATAGTTCGGCCGTTTGGGGATGATTCCCATTACTAACCATGATTCCAGGGTTCGGGAGAACAGTGAGGTCGTTATGAAATTTACCCAGTTCTATTTCTATGTAAACACAGCATTAACGAAATTATTGAACTCCTATTTTGGCACTTTTGGGATGATTCAATATGTTCTTTTTTTGTGATTGTAATCGTAGACACCACTGCTCAGAATGATAATTCCTACACATCACCAGTTGCTTGGGTTTATCCATTCCCGTCAGAATCATTGGTTCATTTGATTAATTCTTGTAATGATTGTAATGTTTGATTTGCAAACCCAAGTCTCTAATCATAGATAATGTATGATAATGTCACATAACAACCATAAGGTACCCCAGTGACTTGAGATCCATCCCCATCTTTCCGTTGCACCGCGTCCAGGTGCAAATCCACGCCGTACTTCCCGAAGTTTTCACGCACCTTAAAGCCACTGAGCATGTTCAATGCGATCCTGGAGCAGTGGCACAACAAACTTCGCCTGGGGGGTTAGGGTACCCCCAAATATAGAGAAGAGTGTTTCCACATATGGCCCTTAACAGCAGTTATGGGCTTATATGGCATACAACCTCATCTATAGGAGTTAGTTCTACTCCCATTTATAACTGACAATCAAGGGCCATAAGTGCAGGGTCGAGGTTTCCAACAGCATCTAGGTGTCCTGACTCCGAGAATTTACCTGGATTGAAGGGTCTTACATATTCACGATCACGGCTAAACATTCAGCTAGCAAGTAAACTAATTGGTGAGGAAAGCAAGAAATATCAAGAAACCTAGGCAATGATTCCAGGAAGAACATGGAAGAACCACACACCACCAGCCACCAACATGTTTTTACATGTAGATGCAATGGTCACAAGTCCTAACCGGCTTCCACAACATGCTGTGTCCTTGCCGGTAAGATCCAAGGATACCTACAGTCCAATTCAATACCTCACTATAATCACCAATCTCACAAGGTGGTCCAACAACATGCTGCATCTGGGATACCCTGTATGGCTATGACCCATTGCCATGTTGATCCAGCCTTTGTGTCCCTGAAAATCAAGATGAATGTCTCAAAGAAGTTGAAGCATCAAGCTAGTATCCTCCCACCATCCAAGTGGGTTTCGGCAAGTCGGCAACATTCACATATTAGTACAGCAGTATCAGTATATTACACTTCGGCAATCAAACATGGCAATGGAACATTCCATTCATATGGGCATCTTAATAGGAAACTCATGTATCAATGGAGAATTTCCAGCCATGTTTTGATAACATACCCTCTGGTCAACTAACATAACTGTGGTAAGTCAATTAACATAATAAGTAAGTCAACTATTTCTATGTGCCATTTTCCAGTTTGCTATGTAACAGTCATTACCAGAGGCTAAATCTAGCCTCAGAGATCTGACAGCCTGGTATTCCATCTCTTTCCAAGCCAATCGCTGGCAAAACATGGCAAAACTCGTCCTGAACGGCAAGGTTACGGAGCCCTGGGGCACATCGAAGCTCCACTGACCACTTTCAAGCCTCATGGGCGGCTTCCAGAGAGGGATGATCCATGATGATCCAAGTCGTTTTTCCGTGACAGTCGGGCTGAAAATGGCTGAAACCAACAGGTAATTAATGGTAATTTGGAAGCTAATGCAATGGTAATTACCATAATTAGCATTAACAGGTAATTCTAATTTGCACTGGTAATTATGGTAATGCTACTGCTAAGATTAATGCTTATGTCACATTATGTCTCTTACTCTTTCAGTATGTTTTCTTGTTTTCTAAATGTGGGAAACAGCGAGCTCCTATGCAGCAAGAACATGAAGGGAGATCGTTGACGCTGATGATGCCAAAGAAACATTCCAAGCGATTTCTGCCTGCTTCTCCAAGAGATCTCAAAGGGTCCAAAAAAGGATAAACACGCTATTTCGCCCTGGTGCCGCTTGTGAGAAAAACTGCTCTATCTTTTCCCGAAACATTACCACACAATTCCCAACTTCACATGAACAAAATTAAATATTTGCAGTGGCTACCATATCATTTGGGGAAACAACAGTTGAACATTCCAGAAAACCACCTTGTCCACTGGCCAGTCTGGCCACGTGATCTTTCCCTGACCTGTGCGCTCCAATCAAGTGAAAGGCAATGGCGTATTCCAACTGATCTTCCCATTCATCCTGGAGCATCACATCAGGATCTATCAGGACATGAGACTCTCATCAGGATCCAAAAATATGGGCGTTGCGCAAAGCGTTGCGCCCCAAATCCAGTGGCATCCTTATCATTCTTGTTTAACATATTTTAACATTACCATCTGGTTATTTAACATAGCCATGGAAAATCACCAGTTGTAATAGGTAAACCATCTATAAATGGGCCATTTTCCGTGGCTATGTCAAATAACCAGAGGGTACTACTTTGAGGAGTCTCCAAATTTCACATAGACACATAGACACCAGGCTGAGCACACTGAGGTCATCCAGAGCTGATGCAACGCTCCTTTTCGTGCGCATGTCTGTGCGGCCATAGACCTATAGGGCTAACTTACCCCAGAGCTTGTAACGACGCTCGACATCCACAGCCACTTTGGTTGTGGTGTTGATACCCAAGTCTTGAAGGCTGAGCGGCTGATCCATCCGAATGTCCAGAGTTCAATCAATCTTCGGTCTCACAACCCACACAAAAGAAGCCAACATTCCAGTTTTTACCTCCAAAAAGTTGTGGTTAGCCTTCTAGAAGCTATCCAATCCAGGAGAACGGGAACAAACCCTCCACAACAAGCTGGCCACAAAATCGTTCAGCAAAAACCGACCATTCACAAAAACTTGTTCCAGTTGTTAAGATTCTCCATACCTGGGAAGCACCCCATTTCCGAACATCAGTTTCATGTATATGACCCCCTGCAGTTGGTGAATTCACTTTCGCCACGATAACGATCAATTACTACCCAGCTAGATATGGAATATGCCAGAGTTGTAGAAGGTGGTACCCCATAGTATCCAAACTGGTTTATAACGTATGTAAATGTACCGTAATGTACCTATTATGGTAGATACATCTATAGTAAAGGGCTTTATAAACCCAATGATAACTGCTGGGCAGCACCTTGTACGTAGTTTCGAGGTTTTGAACCGCCGAAGATTCCTGGCTTCACATGGATCACACCGTCTCAGCGGGACTTTGCCCATTCAAAACTCCTCTCAAGCGCTCGAGCGCTTCTGCAAGATCTGGCTGCGCTGTGTCAGTGCTGACGCCAGCTGCATCTGTCAGGCGCTCCGCGAAGGTTTCCAGCACATACCTGGCGTTGTAGGGGAAAATACCTGGGTAAAATGTCATAGAAATACTAGAAATACACAACGTGGTGAATACCCTAGTGTAGGGTAAAATGTAGGGTAAATACCCTATGACATTTACAACATTATACACAAGTCATAGAAATATACATGTTACATCATGTTACCCTAGTGTAAACTAAGATAGATGTGAAAAACCAAGGGAAAATCCCCAGGTAAACGATCTACTTTCATTTTGGGTGTTCCAAACCTATGTTAGTTATGTTAGTTTACAGGAGGGTACTGTATATGATTCTCACAGTAGGATGTAACCGGGATGATATTTGGGATGATTACATTGAACTTCATGGAGTTTCATGGAATATATGGAACCTGGAGAAGGATCTTATGGGAGCAACCGTGGGATTTTGTAAGACACGGTTTATCACCACCCCCGAAAAACAATCCTCAATCAGAGTCTTACTATGTCTTAGCATTATGTTTAAAACCCATTTCTGTAAGACCTACATATCCTCCATTTGCTTTGGTGAAACTCTCCCCTACCGACTTTCCCACCCAATCCTCACGTCCATGTCGAGTCACAAATATCCCTGGGGCCAGTGATCTTGCCACATGGTGAAGGCCGGCTGAATCTTCCGATGCGCTTTGGCACTGGACACTGCGATGATGAAATGCTTCATGGAACGCTTCCAAAGGATCGGCACTTTGTCCTGAGGCATCTGGAAGCTGAACGTGTTTCTGAAATCCAACGAGCTTCCCATGCTAATATGTTTGTATCGGTACAGGTTGGAATCGGGCAAATGATAAGTTGTATGATTTATTTACTGCTCGAAATGACAAGCAGACGTTCTAAGTTGGGTCCTAGTACCATCCAGTGCCTCTGATTTCTATACCATCTAATCCAAGGGAGGGATTGCAGAAAATCAATCATCAACCAGTCCCACAAAGCCTTTCGCAGATTTGTTTCAGTATGTTTCAGTCCTTTAGATATGTTTGGTGACAGGAGCACGCAATGGGTGTTTTTAGATATCGTTTCGTTTTCTTGATTCATGTTCAACCCAAACGATGGATTTGAATCTTTGTAGTTTCTATTCATTTAGGTATTCCCTAAAAATGTATGTATGTAAGGTTTTCCCAGTTGCATGAGTTGATTTTTCCAGATGAAAAAAAAACACGTAGGAAACCTTGACACACCCAAATCTTCAGCCTCTCATGGCTCGGGCTATGTTCACCCAGAATCCCCACATTTCTATAGCGATCTGCAAGTGCGATTTGAGTAGCGGGAAAACAGGAAATCGAACATCAATGCTGGGGGGTGTTCCCCTAAAATTTTGCACAAACCATATGGCTCTAGTGAAATCACCCTTTCTTGAGGTAAACTCAGTGTCCGAAACCATCTTTTTGCTGCCCATTGTCCGCATGACGAACGTTGCTTCGACGCCGCAAATGGATTTGCCATCCTGGGTTTTGCCTTGGAAAACGTTAGTTGGGATTTAAGACCCCTATGGTCCCAGAAGAGTCACACTGAGAACTGAACTGGTTGGTTGGTGGTATACCTACCCCTCTGAAAAATCATGGAGTTCGTCAGTTGGGATGATGAAATTCCCAATGAAAAACTAAAAATCCTGTTCCAAACCACCAACCAGTTTAGTGTATCAGTGTATGAACGATAGAAATGTGTGGTCCCAGCCTCACGCTCTCTCATCACAACATGCAACTGACAAACTGCGGCCCCTCGCAGACTGTTCCTGCAAATTCCATGGCCAAGCGACATGACGATGGGCGGCAACTGTCCCACATCAGCCACGGCGTCCGAAAAATCCTTGCTGCTAAACCATGGCTTTCTGGCTGGTTGATCACAAGAAATCACCCCCCTTGTCAGCCTGGCATAAAGACTCCGTGGAGAGGAAAGAAATGGAAACGTACCGTGCTCCTCTATGTTTTTCAATCCAAAGCATATTTTCTCATCTTATCTCAATAAAAAGTGGTTGTCTAAAAAAGGTAAACCAATTGAAGCTCCCCCCATTTTGCACAAGGTGGTGCCCCATAGTCGACCTACTTAATGGAGATCATAAAATATCATAAACCGTTTCAAACATCACATTTTTGCGCCTCACCGAACTCACCAGCCTTAGTTTTCAGCCAACTTAGCTAACATCAAAATCAAGCCTAAGAATCACATAGAATCACCATATTTTCCTGGCAAAATCTCAGATCTTTCCCACATTTTCGGATGGCATTTCCCCCAGTCCGCCCAGGCCGCCCAGCGTCGCTGCCGCCCGGCGATTCCGTCTGCCGCAGCGACACCATGCCACGGCCCCGCAGCAGCACACGGTGCAGGCGCTCAGGGCTCGAGGGCAGGGCGAAATCCTGCAGGACGCGCTCCAACTTTGCCTCAGGGGCAAGAGGGAAATAAAGAATAAATTCTGGTTTCTATCTTTTCGAGGATTGGAAAATTATAGTCTATAACATGATATAATTATTCTACAAACATTCTATATATATATATAAATATATGTATATATATGTATATATATATATACGTATATACAAAGTAGTAAGTATCATGTCGCATTTTTTTGGTGGGTTTGAACATCTACAGTATATGATATGTTAGAAGACTCTTGTTGGCAAACCTGGGAATTGAACCAGGATGCACCAGAATCCATATCAAGGCAACCCATGATTCACCTGTCAATTCAGGGGAAATCAACAAAAATACCAACATAACTACCCTCTGGTAAACATACAAAAAACGATGGAACATAACAATTTTTAATAGGTAAATCAACTATTTCTATGGGCCATTTTCAATAGCTTTCTGTATGTTTACCCAGAGGGTAGTTTATACAGCTGATACAATCCCAGCTGTCCCCATTGAATGGTGACATCTATCTTGCCCATCTTCACTGGGAACGCCTAGGTGCCAAGCGTTCCTCCGGCGTCTGAGCTGCATCCTTAATCTCCTCGGTGAAGTCCTGTAGCCACAACTGGGATCACAACTGAGCTTGGAGATAACTGTAGGATACTATAGGTAGATGGGTTATCATATGATTTTATGGGATACTGAAAAAAATAATGGTTATAACTGTAGGATCACTATCTTATGAGATATTTTCTTATAGTTGTGTCATTGCTGTGGCTAAGAAAATACAACAAATCAGTAAAACCGTGGTGAAACAGCCCCCAATAATTCGGATATAGGGCAGAATTATGACCTTTTTCCCACTTGTTAAGTGAAGCACCTGCACCGCCAAGTACCCCTGTTTTCTGTTGGTTTATATTTTGTTCAAGTGGGTTGAACCATTCTGACAGGAACAGTTTTGGTTTCAAGATTTGAAAAACACGCACAACATATATTATAAATCAGTGTCCTATATCAACTACTGTTGATCCATGGTCCATATCGCTTCATGATTTGTTGCTCTGCAAATCATATGCATACTATCGCTGTACGGGGATGAGGGACCACTTCAGTGGCACGGTGAGTGGTGCAATCTGAAGGCGCCTTTTTCCTGGCGAGGTTGGTCTTCCTGGGCTCCCCGTTTGACCTTCCTCATTGCGACTAGCCTCTGGTAAACTCAAAGTTTGGGAGCTGGAAAAGCATCATTTTCATTTATTTTCTATAGCTATTGAACATATTGAAACTTGCCCATAGTGACTTGGGGATCCCACTTAAGGAACACCATTCGATGCAATGCTCAGCTGCTGAAGGCGCCTGAACGGACTTCTGGGAGAGCTGAGGAACGAGGTCGTAGCCGTGAATGAAACCCACCACATATCCTGATGTCGAAGCCATGAAGATATAATTATATATCATTATATTCAAATTATATATATATATATATATGAAATTATAAATATATATATATAAAGATCACCCGAAAATGGATGCGATGAAAAATCTTATGAAACGGTTGAAAGAAAGTGGAACCCATTCAAATATAAATTATGGAAGCCAGATATGCCAGTTATCACCCCTATGGGATGAACAATTTTATGGTTGTAAATGAGAGGACCAAAGAAATACAACAATGGTAGCATGTTTACACGTCCTATATCTTGGGACATGGAGCCTCATGGAGCCCCTAGAATTGTGGTCGTACATATATATATATATATACAGATGCGTATCTAATTAATTCTAACTATATAAATGTTGATATATATATATATATAAAAAAATACAGATATATGTATATTCAAATTAAATATATATATATATATATATATTTAGATATATGCGCATATAAATATGCAGATCTATGTATATTCACAAAAATATATTTAATTATGTATAGCTATAGTTAATTAAATATAATTAAATCTGCAGATATATGTATGTTCAAATTATATAGATAATTAAATATAATTATAAATACACAAATATGTATATTCATATTATATATAATTAAATATAATTAGATATATACAGATATATGTATATTCATACTATATATACAAATGAATATGATTGTATATGTATACATACAGATATATGTATATTCATACTATATATAATTTATATATAAGCAAATATATACAAATTTATGTAAATTCATATTATATATATATGTATATATATATACCCCGATATATGTATATTCATATTAGATATATAATTATTAAAATATATATATATAATTATTGATAACTATATATACAGATATATGTATATTCATACTATATATATATAATGATATAATTATATATATACGGATATATGTATATTCATACTATATATACGGATATATGTATATTCATACTATATATATAGTATGTTATATATATATTACACACAATCATACAATATACTGTAGCTCTACTTAAGTGTTCTTAAGTGGAAATGCAGCCAAGTGTGGTTGATCTCCGTCATGGCTCATATGGATTGACATCCGACAGTCGGTGGAGCTATTTTGATCAGTCGACTTTAAAACTCCATTGGGCTATACATATATCTACTGGGAGATATGTTAGCATAGCCCTATGACCGATTGTCTTTGTATAGAAATATGTACTTTAAAACCCCATTGGACTATACTTTATGTCTACCATAAACCCTAGATATGTGCATTGCAAAGTAGATTAGCAAACTATAGGGCTCCACTGTTGCTCCACCTTGCATATCTTATCCCCTTTACATCATCTCATCACCAAGCATCGCTGCATCTTCTTTGCAAGGGACTCATCCACCACCTGCGCGCAAGCCATCCATCTTGCCAACGTGCAGAGCCAGAGTCCACTAGTTGGTTCGGATTAGATGTTCGAGAGCATTTGGCAATTTATGGAACATCTTCACAACACCAAAAACAACACTGCAAAACCATCTATGAATGGGCGGTGAAAAACAATTAACCCTCTGTTTTTTGGACATAGCTATGGCAGCCATGGTCATTTTATAGACGATTGGTGATGATCCATCTCTATTAATACCACCAACCTCAAGCAGGTCAAGCAGGTGCACCTGTGGCACCCCAAAGACCACTGCAAAGGCATTTGTAAAGCCGGCGACGTCGCGCAACAGCCATGCCAACACCTTCCGTTCGCGGGGAACTGGTTGGATGGCGGGATGGTTTCAAGGAAAATGTTCACCGGAAACCATGGTTTTTACCAGCAATTTTATATACAGATTCTATGGCAAATTTTATGGAGATTTTATGAAGATTTGATTTAGTTTATGGAGATTTTATGGATATTTTTATGTGGTAATGGAGATGAAAGCAGTGAAATGGATGACAGAAATAACTGTGAGATCAGCCCGCTGAGGATCCTGTACGAAAGATCAGACAGCTGAACCTTCCTGGATCCAACAACACGGGGTAGTCGGGTAGTCCCTATCAAAGGATGGAAACATCTGAAAAACCCATCTGAAACAAGAAACAAACCCATCAAATGTTTTTTTTTACAAAACCCATCTGAAAAGAAGTGCAGCAGTAACAATCCAACGAAAGTAACTTTCGATGAACTATCCCACTGAGGCCCTTGTGACAAGCGAGGTGAAATTGAGGCCAAACAAACTTGGTAACCCAGCATCACCCGGAAGCCATGAAATGTGTTTGTACATGGTTATATATAGAGTTCAAGCCCTTTACCAATTGTAAATGGTTGTAAATGGGGTTCTCATTCCATAGATGGGCTGACGTAGTGACTCACAACTGGTATTTCGGGCCATAATTGTGGCGATGAAAGGAACATTTTCAAACTATGATCTGATCAAATTTTGATCGTTCAGCGACCAGGCTCCCTTTCAATCGCCAAAGCTACCATTGATTGATCCCCTGCAAATAGTGTTTTGTCAACGGGGATGTTGGATCTCTGTGACCAATGATCCTCGGGTAATCCAAGAAACACAACTATCAATAGCGATCAATCCCGATGAATGTGCATATTATCCTTATTTGAGTTGTTCCTCGCCAAAAAAAACAATGTCCTGAGGAAATACGATACATGTTCCAATCAAATCAATCAAGTCTGCATCAAAATCTCAATTTCACATCAATTATCAGAAGTGCATATATACACATATGTATTATATATATATATATAATTAAGTGGTATGATAATTTTATGATGGTATGCCACTTACCAACTGGTAAACTAACATAACTATGGAAAATCATCATTTTATAGCTGGGTAAATCAACTATTTCAATGACCATTGTCAGTAGCTATGTTAGTTTACCAGAGGGTATATACACTTCATATCCCCAGAAATCACCACGTCTCACCGTGGCGAGGCACTGCGGCGATGGCACCTCCGAGGCTGTGGCCGGTGATGACCACGTGCTCACCTCATGGCATCACTTGGTTTTCAAAAAACGGCTGCAGCAACGTGGTTTATATCATCTAACTGTGGCGAAATATCATCACTAACTGTGAAAATATAAACTGTCAACTGTTTTAAATTGTTATATGATATATTAACTGTGGAAATCGTATCATCTAACTGTGGTGATAAATATCATGATATAAAACCGTTGATCACATATATATATATATCTAATTGTGGTGAAATACAATGTTATATATATCATCAACGCTAACTTAGTGTTAAATATCAACTGTTATATGTAATCCATTTCTCATTGTTGATGACTAATGGGTGATGATAAATTCAATATAGTGGCTAGTCAATCTCAGTGAAGTATGGCTACTATAGAATACGAACACATTGCAAACTCATCACTTGTGGTTGTATCATCACTGACCGTTAAATTATGATTAGAATACTAACACACCGTAAGACCAACAACAATGGTTGTAATGCTAACTTCACTACAATGATACGCAGTTAATACTATGTATGTGTATACACATATATTATATGTAGATGTATTAACAGTGGGCGCGTACATTGGATAATCATTAAGAATTCAGTTAAAGTACTAAGACATCGTAGAATCATTGACAATGGTTAGAATGTTAAGTATGATAATTAAGATCACGCATAATCGATAATTTTGAAACTTAATGGTGGATGATGATGGCGAATGGGGCAATAATCTGCTTAAACAGTCCCAAATCATTCATGTGTTATAAGCAAAAAAAAATGACACAATGGCTTCGAAAGCCAACCATACTTATAGTTGCCACGCATAAACCCTAGTTGACCTTACTTTCAACCAACTGAGCTAACACATCAAGCAACTATAAATTTGACGGTTCAAAATTCGTGACATCTCCACCTTTTCATGGTTAACATAATGTTTTTCGTGATTAATCACCATTTTCTTGGTGAAATCCCCATTTTTGATGGTACAAAATCACCATTTCCGCCATCAAAATTTGGGTCCCACTGTTCCCTTCCTCCCCCAGCACGTCCAGTAGGGCCTTCTCGCAGGTGTGGCAGCACCTTGTCGTAGATCCAGCGTGCACCGTGCAGAATGCCACCGTGCAGCACGTGGCCTTCGTGCTCCGTCTGGCTGGCATACCTTGGTGGAAGAGGAACTGATCAGTGGGAAATCGTGGGAAATTTCCCGGGAGATTCCATAGTTTCCCAGGAAAATTTAAAATTGATGATGAACAAATCATGGGAAACTATGAAAAACACATCTACAAATGGTGCTTAAAAAATATCAAACACGGGGTTTTCCTCAGACACTTGAGCAGAAGAGCAATGTTTCTATCTGGTGCTTTAACCCATCCGAAAACTATGCAACGTTGTGAATGTTGAGAAAAGGACTTATCCCAGGTTGGATAAAACATTTCACAAAAACATGTTATAACATATTATAATATGCTTAGGTTTATTTGGGATAATGATATTATAACATATTATAATATAGCATGTTATAATATATGCCTCCAGTTTGGGAGCGAGGTATTATAACATATTAGAACAGACTTACCAGTAGTACCGCACAAGGCGGCGGCGGAAGTTTCAAAACTAGGAAACCTATAGGAAAGGTTTGATGCTGCCTCTCGCTTGCCGAACACGGCAGATCTTAAAATGGCTGCGGAGCAATTCAAGATTTGTTTCCACGCGACGACAGCACAGTTACCTAGGTTCATTTTGTTCATCTTTAATGCTCTTGCTGCGTGCTTTTCCGCTCCTTTTTCTATGTGAATCGCTTCTGTAAAGCAACAGACTCCTGTTTGCGGAATAACTCAAATGTTTCAATTCTTAATTATTCCAAAAAACTATTCGTTATGTTACTTGGTCCCTTGGAATAAGTATCTAAGGCAAGCCTCATTTTTTGCGGAAATGTACCAAAATACTAGCAGGTGACCCGCCGTACCGAGATGCCGCCCCGTCACATGGGTGGTCTGCAGCAGCGGAACCAGCCTCCGTGGAAGGTACCACTGCAGCTCCATTGGTGCCACGTCCGGATGGATTAGGTCTCCGCGTTGTCGTGTTGCTGGAAACCGGTGCACCTGGTGAAACCCCGAAAGCTAACCCCCGATGGTCTTCTTATAGAACGGCTGTACTGTCACTAAATTGCCACGATATTGCCACTCTGTTGTCAGTATATTGTCACATATTTTGTATATATTATATAAATATATACCTTGTACTTGGCAAAAACTAGAGCTCCAAATATGTTCTATTGTTTTTAAAATATTTGGTGTGTAAACTGCTTGAGCCTCCACCGCCGTCGCCAACACGCGGTTGGCTATGGCCGTGAAGGCCGTGCGGTGAAGCTCCAGCACCAAGGCCACCGCACGGTGCCAGTTCTGCGGCTCATAGTCCAGAGCTGCTTGGTGGCTAGCTGCAGCCACGTTTTCGTGGACCGGCGGCAGCCACCCGTTGGCTTGCATGCAAGACCTGTTGCACGTCCGCCATGGCTAGGTGGGTGCTGTCGCGGAAGTTTAGGCCGACCAGGTCTTGAGCGAAGGCAGCTGCACTGTCTCTTACACACACACACACAGCACTCTCTCTCTCTCTATCTCTATCTCTCTCTCTCTCTGTCTCTGTCTCTGTCTCTGTCTCTCTCTCTCTCTCTCTCTCTCTGGACCTGGAGGAGGCCGTGGACCTCGAGCGTGCACACCACCAGGCGGTGGTGGCGGTGCCACACGGCTACAGCGGAGGTCCAGAACAGGATGTTCAGAAGCACAGGCGCTAGAAAGCCGCTCACCTGAAGCGCCAAAAAAAAAATGGGTGTGCAACTCACTCACAACCAAACAAAGCGAACCCTCCGGTACCAGAGCCCTATGTTTCACAGAAACCATACCTTTCAACAGCTCAACCAGTTTACTTCGAGTAGTCCCCGCCATAGCATCTGCAAACAAAACATTTATTTTGACCTTCTATCTGGCCTGTCTTCAGCAAATATCCCTGGAAAGTTTACCTGACGCTCTCCTCAGGTTCTATCTGGAATCAATCTCACACTCTACCTGACGTAGCTTCTGCTCCTTTGACCGGCATATCTAGATTCTGTCCGTCCTATCTTCTGACTCTCTCTCTGATACGTCTTCTGCTAATCTACCTAGCAGGTCTTCTGACGGACCTCACCTGCCACCTGCAAAAATAAAACTGATGCTATTCTTGTGGTGCCTCGTACCAGGCGGTCAGATCGTTGACCACCATCCCGTGCGGCGCTGGGACGTCTCCGCCGGCCGGAAAGGCTTCAAAGCTTACCCGGCATCGGCCAACTGACCACCAGCCAGTTGCCGCCACTAAGGCCAAAACCGCCTTGTACCCAAGTCGCCAATTCGCGGCTTGGCCATTGCAAGGCTGGTGCGGCGACCGAGAGCTGCAGCGCAGCCGCGGCGCCCTCAGGGTCCTCGCCGTGGTTGGCAGCCACAAATGCCAAAGCGGCCAGTGCGACTGGGGAGTCACAAAGAAGGCAATCTATACCGGGAAACTGCGTTTGGTACGTTTTCGTCTTGCATCCACTTAGCGGCATTACGGTATTACAAAAAAAAATTGCCCTTACACGAGAAAGTTACTTACACGAGAAAGTTACTGAAACGAGAAATAAAAATAAAAAAGTGGAGTAGACAGTTTCTTTTAAAAAAGTGTTTGTAAAAGGAATGAAGGAGAAGGAAGCATATAAATCTAACCAAAAGGAGTGCTAATGTCTCCATGGGTGAAATATCAGATTGCGTGTGCTCAAATTTTAATGCATGTGTGTGCCGGCAGTGACAATGTCATGTCTTCCAACAACAAGAAAATAGCTTCAATCATCGGTCCACGCATTTTTTTCTTGGGCAAACGAGGATTCCAAATATCTACAGCAAGTTTGGTTTGTGCAAGCCACAAACAGGTGAATTAAAGATGGGTTCCCACAGATTTTGAAATCATATGAATTAGTAAAGTAGACTCGAATAGGCTGAAGCAGCCATGTGCTGAAGCAGCCATAGCTTGGCCGAAGCAGCCATAGCTTGGCCGATGCAGTCAAAATGCTACTTCTCATCACTTTGTTTTTTCTTTTTCATTCATCCACTTAACCCCTTTTCTTCTCACAATTTCGATCCGCATAGTGGAAGCAAGCTTGCTTTCCGATGGCCATGTGCTGGTTTGAAGCAGCCTGTACTTCTGGTACAGCCTTTCCACATGGAACCTTTTGAGAAGATCCCTTTGGATGACTTTGGCATCAGGCTTAGTGACTACACTGGGGTTGCCACGTCATCGTGGAAGTTCGGGCGGCGGCATCATCATCAGCATGGAAACGGAAACGGTCATATGTAGTTTAAGCCTAGAGCCTAAATGTGCGAGAAACCGCAAATGATTATGTTTCAGAACATGTACAGCAAACATGAGACAAACCGACTGACAACAGGACATCCCCCTAAGAGAGTCGACACTTTTACCTTTCAACCTGTCATGTTTGTGGGAAATTAAAAGCAGCTTTTTTTTCGATCCCGCATGGAAGGCACAATCAAAACTGCCTATAGGTCCGAAGTGCCTATGTCGCAGCCACATCGTCGCCTATGGCCGAGGCAGCCACACGGCCGATGCAACCGTGGTATGGCCGATGCAGCCACGTCGTCTCGTCTATGGCCGAGGCAGCCACATCACTTGTCTCCATTGTCCTCTTCGTCGTCATCGTCGTCGTCTCCCAAAGGATCCCAGACGTCGTCTTCTTCATCTTCGTCGTTTTCCTCTTCGCCTTCCTCCTGCTCATCCTTTGTTTGCTTGGCTTTGGCTTTTGCCTTAGCCTTTGGTTTGGCCTTTCCCTTGCCTTTGGCCTTTGCGTTTACCTTTGCCTTTGGTTTTGCGGTCTGATTCACAGGTGCATGCCCACTGCCACCGACGGCTTCACTGTAAGCTGACGAAAACAAGCTGGACTCAGGGTTTGTCATTTCTTTTTCAAGCAATGCAAGCAGCCGGTGGTGCTCCGGGTTGAAGGCAACTCCTACATACCCTATACCCGATTTCGCAAGGCTGCCCAAGCCATGCGGCCGTCCAGAGGTGTCAGATCGATAATGATCTTCGCGAAAAAGTCGTGGATCAACTCGTCGCAGAGCTCATAGGGTGGACTGTGGTAGCAAACTGGCTCCAAGACCGAACCAGTCTGTGAGGTTATATTCCAGGCCGAAACAGCCTGTGATTGCAGGCCGAGGCAGCCTGGAACGTTTCACAGTTTAAGCCGGAACAGCTTTTACACACGGAAAAGCTTGTGAGCCGAAAACAACGAGAAACGACTTGAGTGAGGCTTCTAAGGAGGGGGCTAACAGTTCTCTCCTTAGACTGACAGCAGCGAAGTGTGTAAGGAGAGGGCTGTGAGAGGACTATTCGAAAAATGTTGTTTTGCCCTAAGGAATTTTATTCAATAGTCATCTCACAGCCCTCTTCTTACACAGCTCACTGACGAAGGCCCAAGGCAGCCAGGGTGGCCGAAACAGCCAAGCTCAGGCAACATGACGACCTGTGACGACCTCTCCTTACACAGCAGGTTTTTGGTTAAACATTCTGTGTAAGGAGAGGTCATTTCGTCCTCTCCTTACACAGGTAGGGGACGTCCCCGATGCTCGGTTGGAGAGGACAAACAGAGGACAACAGCTTGTAAAACCGAAACACTTAGTAGTATTACACATTCGTCCTCTATTCGTCCTCTCCTTACACAGCTAGGGGACGTCCCCGACCTTCGGTTGGAGAGGGCAAATCGCCCTCTCCTTAGGATAGGGTTTTTGATTATGTCCCTTAGGAGGTTAGGGGACGTCCCCGAATTAGAGTCTTAGGAGGTTAAGGGATGTCCCCGAATTACCCCTTAGGGTTAGGGGACGTCCCCGAATTAGAGTCTTAGGAGGTTAAGGGATGTCCCCGAATTACCCCTTAGGAGGTTAGGGGACGTCCCCGAATTAGAGTCTTAGGAGGTTAGGGGATGTCCCCGAATTACCCCTTAGGAGGTTAGGGGACGTCCCCGAATTAGAGTCTTAGGAGGTTAGGGGATGTCCCCGAATCAGGGTCTTATAGTCTTAAGAGGTTACATCCCTGTAATTCTTAAGATGATTTTTAAACATATGTCAAAATCCCTTATGACATAAAAAAGAAAATATCCCCCTTACCAGGTTAAAGGACATTTGAATAGTAAACAGTAAACATGTTACATATTTTCCCCTTTTTGGATTCAAATACTCTTTGGTGGTTTCAAAGTCTCTTCCACAACCTGGTCCCAAGAAGGCCACAGCAGCCACTATTTTCTAAGAGACAGTCTGTCTTCTCGAAACCCTTGCTGGCCGAAACAGCCAGGCGATTTGGCCGAAGCAGCCAAGCTTCTGTGGCTGAAGCCTGAAGCAACCACTTTTTTCAAAAAAAAGTTTCGGGCAGGCCGAAGCAGCCTGGCAACGAGCAGGCCGAAGCAGCCTGACTACGCCCGTAATCTCAAGCCTCGGCCGCAGCAGCTTGGGTGAGTTGAAATACCCAGGTGGCTCCTGAGAAGTGTCCAACCCTCAATCGATTGTCCACTTCTGACCTCAAGTTTGGCAGCATTGGCTGGTTGTCTTCTGTATTCAAACTCAAGTGTGCTGACCTTAATATTTCACAGCTTGCCATTTCATCTGCTGCTGCATCAGCAGCGAGTGCCACAACTCTTGACCGCAGGTGTTTACAAAGATTTTTCTTCAAACGCCCAGGATTCTGACTAAGAGGAGCCATATAAAATCTAGAGCAAGCACGCTTCATGACTGCCCATGTGGCTAAGGAGACATTGGCAGCTCCTGTTCCAGCTTGCCTTGCTTGGCCTAAAAAGCCACTTCGAGTTGTCAAGTCTGGGGCCACAGCCATGAATCGTATGGCCAACCGCCCATGCCGCTCATCCCGCATCAAAGAAATGTGAGAAGATTTCGCAATGAACGTTTGGTCCAAAGCTTTTAACCCCTCTGCCAAACACCATGCCATTTGCAGCTCTTTTTGCGTCAATGATCTTTTCTCGCCAAAGCACTCCATCAGCTCTTGAAACTGACTCAATGACAGGGCTGCATCGGGACTAGGACCAACACAGCCCCCTTCCTTCAACCATTCCTTCACCGCTGCCTTGTGCGCCTTGCTTTTATGGTGCTTCATCAAATTGCAGTTCTGCAGTTGGCCCTTCTTGGTCATTGAATAAGAAGCGAAAGGATTGGAAACCCCAGTTTCCTTGCACACTTTACAATCAACACCCCAAGGTTGCTGCTTCACATCCAACCATGACCCTAGCTCTGGCTGGCCATCTGAGACGAGGAACATGTTACACCATTTTTTGCTCGAACTACGCCATCTGAATTTGGCCCCGGTTTCCAAGCTTGACATTGCTACCGTGGCCGAAGCAGCCACTAAAATGGCCGAGCCAGCCAGCACCGCGGCCGAAACAGCCACAATGGAGCGGCGCATCTTAACCATTGAGCCAAAAGAAAACGAGAAAAGAAAATAACCATGACACTTGTTAAAATATCTAGCAGGGCGTCTATACGAGAAATTTCCTTCTGTGGACGTCGCCAGGCAGAGAACAGAAAAGCTGTCCCACAATAAGTGTGTCAGAAGAAAAATGTGTCATATACCACAACTAAGGAAAATTGAGTTGAGAATTCTAGTAGAACGCATGTGGCATGGTTTTAAAAGTCATGAAGGTTTTTGTAACAAAGTCTGAAAGTACAAAGCGACGAGTTCTGAAAATAACTTAATTATGAAAAACCAAAACGAGAAAATATCTCCAAAGCCCCAATTTTTTTTGTAATACCGTAATACGCTTAAGTGGATGCAAGTCGTTTCTAGGTACACACCGCTTCAGCCCCGTTCATCCAAGAGTGCTCAAGATACCTACCTACAGACATACCGACAGACACGCATACATACATACACCTGCATACATACATACACACCCCTACGTACATGCATACATACGCAGCCCTTTTCACAACATATGATACCACCGGGGACGGGGGTAGGGGGCGCTAAAAACAACTATACACGATGCATGGCCAGCAAATCAATTACAACCAGGGCCGAGGGGTTGAAATTCCCGTGAGGGTTTCACTTAGAATGAAACCCTAAACCCGAAAAGAGCATGGACCGGGTGGTTGGGGCGGGAACACTGGCTACGCATAGCGAGCGCAATGAGGAGAGCTGGCGTTAAAGCAGTCTGCAGAGTGCAAGGAAAACGATTGTTTGGAGTCCGCAGAGTGCAAGGAAAATGATTGTTTGGAGTCTGAAATCTACAAGGAAAACGATTGTTTGGAGTCTGAAAACTGCAAGGAAAATGATTGTTTGGAGTCTGCCGAATGCAAGGAAAATGATTGTTTGGAGTCTGCAGAATGCAAGGAAAATGATTGTTTGGAGTCTGAAATCTACAAGGAAAACGATTGGCTGGAGTCTGAAAACTGCAAGGAAAATGATTGTTTGGAGTCTGCCGAACGCAAGGAAAATGATTGTTTGGAGTCTGCAGAATGCAAGGAAAATGATTGTTTGGAGTCTGAAATCTACAAGGAAAACGATTGTTTGGAGTCTGAAAACTGCAAGGAAAATGATTGTTTGGAATCTAAAAACTACAAGGAAAATGATTGTTTGGAGTCTGCAGGGTGCAAGGAAAATGATTGTTTGGAGTCCGCAGAGTGCAAGGAAAATGATTGTTTGGAGTCTGAAAACTACAAGGAAAACGATTGAATTTTCAGACACCCTGTTAGAGAGCGAGCTTGAGCTACAAAAAAACTGCTGCGGACACACACGGCTCTTCGAAACACCCTGGTCTCTGCACTTCTTCGCAGACTGTTGCTGCACTCCTTTTCCGCGATCTGCGGATGCAGCACTCAAGTCTGGTTCGGTCCGCGACACCGGCGTGCTGGTACAAAAAATGCCACTGGTGGTTTCTAAATCAGCACAGTGCCGCCGATGCTTCGCACGCTTCATGAAACTCTTCCCACGGATCAGTACAGTTTACCAGCGATGGCAGTGGCACCAAATCTGCGCAGACACAGTGGTCAAACAAGCATGCATACCAGCATGCATACCACAACTTATTGCTGCCCAGCTGCAAGAAAGCAGGTTCAAGTTGTACAAAATCTGATCCATGTGCTCCACCAAATCGCTGTCGGCGAATTCGCCAAAGCCATATACATCACAACGCCTTGTCCGCCGGTCCGAGCAGCAAGCGGTGTGCTAGACATGTTACGATACTTTCTAATGGAGCGTTCTTTCAAGGAGACAGCCCACGGTGCTGTGGGCGATCTTGCCCGCGAGAGGAAGCGCGGGGCCAGGAGACAGACCGCCCGCAGGCAATTTTTCTGTCCGGCTTTACATATTGCCGAGGCGTGGTATCTCTCGTGAAGCGGCTCCCGCCTCAAAAAAAACATTGCAAGACCACAAGACACGCATATCTGAGTTCGCTGCTCTGTTTTTGTCATGTCGACGACCGATATACCTCGTGGCGTGGGACTTCGCTCCTTCTGTAGAGGCGCCATGCGCCACTCCGCACCTCTGCCGCGCTGAAAGAGCCATTGTATAGCCCCTCCGGAAACGCCTCCAGATTGGCCTCCTGATTTGCCGGGAAAGCCGGTGGGCGTCTGCTCTCCGGCCGCCAGTGGCCGACGAGGTACTTGACAGCGATGCGCAGCCCCGGCGCTTGGTCGTGTTCGGTGGATGCTGTCCGGTGCCGCAGTGCGTCCCCGAGGCCGCACTTGGTCCAAAACTCAAACAGTGCGGCGTACGGTTCCAAGGCCCGGACTGGGACGTACCTCGACTCGGCCAAGGCCGCAATGCGCAGGCGCACTGCGGCCTTCCATGTCTTGCAAATGTCGCCCATGCAAAGCCCCAGGGGCCAGCCCAAACAATCGAAAACAAGTAGCAATGCCCACCCTTCCATGGCGGCGTTTCCGAAACGTGCGTTTGGACCACTGCCCTGAGTCTCGGAAATTAATAAAAATTCATTTCAAAAATTTAGGTATAAACTGTTCGTTTTAGCTGGAAAAAAATAGGCAAAATTCCACCTATTTTTTTCACCTAAATTTGCACCTAAATTTAGGTGCAAATTTAGGTTGCAACCTAATTTTTGGGATGTATTTATGTTTTGTGTACTTTTGTTCAAAAAATATGTTATTTGACCATATATGTTTAAACATTACGAGATTGGTTTGATGATGACATTTGGTGGGATGTGCTGTGATTTGTGTCGATTTTGGTCTCGCAAATCACGAAATATGATTGAAAAAGAGCTTACTTGTGTTTTTTTTGTAGTTGTTACTTGTGACTATCCTTGCAGGGTTACTTGTGATGTATTATGATTTTACTGACTCAAGAAAGATTGAAAATGGTTTATCTGGTGAAAATATCATGAAATCAAGTAGGAGACAGGATACACTGTTGATAATTTAATTTGTGTGAAACCCAAAAAAATGCAAGAAAATAGATGGCAGAGAATCTGTATGATGTTGTTCTTTTCTGGGTTGATTGTATATTTTTGGGATTTTTCATTTAAGTTTGATTTTGGTTTTGAAAACAGTTTAAGAACTAACATGGAAACTATGTACATTTTATATATTGTTTGTGTATGTCTTTGTTTTGCATGGTATTCATTTGGAAGTAATTGTCATGTACCTTCTTTATAGTTTTTAGATATATTTTGTGTAGTTTATATGGAATTTATGTGTAATTTATATGTAGTTTATATGTAGTTTATGTGTACTTTTTATGTAGTTTCTATGTAGTTTCTATGTACTTTTTATGTAGTTTATATGCAGTTTATATGTAGTTTATATGCACTTTTTAAAAGTGCATATAAACTACATGTAGTTTTCTTAAAAGTACATGTAGTTTACATGCACTTTTCAAAAGTGCATATAAACTGCATATAAACTACATATACATTTTTAAAATTTTCCATTAGTTTTCATTTTATTTTTGTAATTATTTATCTCTGGTTTTGTTTGTTTTGTATTTTTAAAATGATGTTGTAGCAAAGTTTCAATTGCAATTGTGTACATTGAATATCTTGAACACAAGTAAAATGATATCAAGTAATGCAAAGCTTCAAGATAACAATCATAACACCAAGGAAAGCAAACGCTCAAGTAAATTGACTAATCACAAGTAACATGAACTGAAGTAACTCAATCTCACAAGTAAAGTCACCCAACAAAAGTAAAACATATAAAAAAACAACAATGCCCAATACTCCATTCTCTTTTTTCAAACTCTGAGCACTGTAAGGTTTGACAGTCACGTGACCTTGACAGCGCGGAAATCATACCTTTCAGGCAACAAACATTATGCAGTCGGAAATGTAGCTGCTCTGAAACATAGACACTTGCAAGCCATTCGCTGCAAATGCTAGCGAAGAAAAAAAAAGGGCTGCAACTGCTTTTGCAACAGCATTACTGTTACTTGTGTCACTATTCTGTGTTGCTTCTACCATACACGTATCTTTTTTTCTACAACCAAAACAATACTTTTCTCTACCTAACCACATAAAATTGTTTATGATAATTCATCTTCTCCAAACAACAAATCACACAAAACAAGCACAATCAACAAAAGTATTTTAAAACAAACTAACACATATTAAAATCTAGCTCTTCTTCACAACAAAATATACAAAAAAAATAAAGCGCAGATTTAGGAAACAAAAAATACATGAAATTTAGGTCCATTTTTAGGTGCATTTTTAGGTAAGTTTTCCGGGACAAAAATTTACAGTAAATTGGTCGAATTTAGTAAATCACTAAAAATGTAATTTTTACTAATTTCCGAGACTCAGGGTGAAAACACGAGCTGCCGCACTACATCTGGTCGACGGAGTACGTCCACCTGGCAAAGTGTAGGTGCAAAAGACGAACCTATACAACTAGACCCACGAAACGGCCAGGCAACCCGCAGTGCAAACCATGCAGGTTTGTGTGACTTTCACTCGCCGAAGCGCGGCCCTCTTTTGCTGTTCGCGCCAGGAAGGTAGTTTGTCGAGATGCCGGTTTTTACTGGGCCGGACCCATCTACGAAAACAGAACTTGAAAAACACCCCTCAGCTGTCCACGCTCTTTAAACATTAGTCTGCGTCAGACGCGCCGCTGTGGCTGGCTGGCTGGCTGGCTGGCTGAAAACGAATACCGGACCCAAACGCGCTACCAATGTATGAAAAAATCAAGTGCCACATATAATGTGCACTGTACGATCTGTAACGATTGTTCAATGAATAAGAAATCATATCACTACCGATCGTGTGCCATTCATGGTTGAACACGGTCGAACGTTAGATCACAAAAACCACACCTGAAGGACTCCCTTAGGTCGAGGGACATCTGAAAAACAGATGCATTGCCAGTTTAGAGGTGGCCATTCAA